AGTGTTTAGGATTCAATGTCAAAGTATTTATGAATCCATTTGAAGCTCATCTCTATAGGACCATGTATATCATATCATCATTCATATGCTCCTATATCCATTAGCAATAGACTATGCACTTCATTTATATATAATTGTCATATGGAGTCTTTGTTAAAGAGTGAGTTAGTTCAAGCTTGCATAAGCTTTGAAAGAACTCAACACTTGAGCTAAATTGCAAGGACCATGCACATCAATTACATCATTCACTTTGGTCTATAGAAAGTAGAGTCTAAGGCTTAGAACTTAATTACTCATCTCTAAAGCCTTAGTAAAGGACATTAGGACCCTAGTATGCACTTGATGAAAAACTGTCTTTCTGGCAAAGTATGAAAAATGGCTAAGTGTGAAAAATGAATTTTTGAAATAATGATTATTTCAAAATAATTTTTCCCGGTAATAACTCTTTATACTTCAAATAGCCTAAACTGATTTTATGGGATTTTTTCATCAATTCTATATTAGTCTACACAATGATTCATTTTTACGAAAACTGTCAGAAATCCAAATTTGTACTAAAACTGAATTTCTACATTTTGATTTAGTTGGATTTCAATTTTCTAGTATTTTTTATTGAATCCAAATGTACTTCTTTATTTACATTGTAAACTTAAAGTAAATGAACATATAAATTAAAGTAAAGACATTTACTTAAACGTTTTCAATTGAAATAAGCTGTGTGCAGATGTCCTGTACTGAAAGTCCTAACTCAACACATACGTCGACCGGTTTATGCTATACGTCGACCGGTTTTTGTCGGATCTGCAGATTTCAAACTGCAACGGCTCTATTTTCCTCGACCTTTGTGCATTCATCTTCTAACAGCTATATTGAGCTTGCAAACTCTATAAATAGAGTGGGGAAAGTCTAAATAAAGAAGTGACATCATTTGAAAGCCTTCACATTGCATTAAATAGAGTTTTTGTTCTCAAATCTTCTCTTCATCTCTCTCATTCACTATTATTCTATCTTGAGAGATTTAATTAAGCACTAAAAGGCTTTTGCTCTTGCTTGAATCTTCATAGAGTTTTTGCTCTATTATACACTTGAGAGATTATAAGAGCTTACATTCTTCACTTATATCATCTTCTCTCATTCATTTCATTCATAGAGTTTGAGCTTCACTTATATTCATATATACTCTAGTTGAGAGCTAAAGTTTGTACATTAATCTTTGAGAGATATTTCTTGTGAGCTTGCACTTGTATATCTATCTTGAGAGAAAGATTCAATCTTGTATTTCAATTACAATCTTTTCTACAAACTTGTAAGGGTTGGTGTGACCCAAAAGAAGCCTAGGAGAAGGGTGTTCTCCAAGCAAGGAAAAGAAGCAAGGTCTTGCTTCATGTAAATGTTTGTTCTCCACCCATAAGGAGAATCCATAGTGGATTGGGAAGTCTCAAGAGGAGTCTTGAGCCGAGGAGTAGGAGTTTCCGAACCTTGCAAAAATTGTCGTGTTATAGTTTGCAATTTCTCTTCCCTTATCTCTTTTACAATTGTGCTACAAATTGTTTACTTTCATATCTTGATTTCATATGTTGATTATTGCACAATAGGTTATCTTGTTGATTAGAAATTATATTTCTATAATTTGCGAAATATGGCCATTGACTCTATTCACCCCCCTCTAGAGTCAATTTTTGGGCAATAGCGTCGTCTGGGTAGCTCAACCACACCAGAGTCTCTCTTTAACCCCCTCTAGATCACACTAACACCACGAACCACTAGGCGTCTCCTAGACGTCCGGTTTTCACAAACACTTTCGAAAACGTTTTCCTAAAACAATTTCATTGGTTGAAAAAAAAAAAATACTTTTCCCCATTTTTTTTTTCCTTTCCCAATGGATGCATGAATGCTTCATGCTTCACAATTTACCATAATTTTCACATTATTAAACCTTAACAACATTTCATAATAAGAATAATTTTTCATGAATTTATAGCATGCTTTAAGTCAACAAAATTTCTACAGTTACACATATTACACAAGGACATAATCACAAAAGTATACTTTTCATATCCAATCAACAAATCATACGCACATATATTATTTACACACAACACACATAGAGATACACATCATCTATCTAGCATCATGGCAATTTTTCAAGAAAAATTTATAATAAATTCCATACATTCCATCTACATCACGATCACATTATTAAAGGGAAATTTTAACATTTATTTTCATAATTTCAACATCACTTTTCTTAACAATTAAAAATCACGGGGCATCTAAAATATCAATACTAAGCATGTATCTTCACTACCAAGTATATAATCATAATCATAGGTTCAATTAATACATATAATACATCCATCACCTTAATTACATACAATCATAACAACATAGGCAAAATTGCTAAAATCAAACATGCTTATAATCAAATTAAAGGGGGAAAATTCACAAAAGATTAAAGAAAACATGAATTAGAACACCCCTACCTCACTTAGATGCAAAAACCCCCAAATAGGTCAAAAAATTCAAAATTCCTATGGTTGGCCAAATGAGGAATTGTTTGTATCAACACATAGATTTTACCGTGGACTCCATTTTGCCGCAAACGGCAACCAAAAATTCCAAGGGATGAGAGACTAATTGAAAATGGAAGCTTTGATGGATAAAAGAAAAAAAAACGAACCAAGAATGAGAGAGAGAAAGAGAACCTGCAGGAAAAAGAGAAATGAGAGACCAAATTGTGGTCTCATGGCCACCAAATAAACTAGTGGTGGGTCCCACCACTTCCAATAATCTTTTCCTTTAATATAAATACATATATATGTATATATATATATATATTTATATAAATCGCAAACATTACATCTGACTTCATGTTTAACCACGTGCATCCTATGTGCTAGAGGTGGGAGAGTTGTGTGTCCCATATCGTCTGGTGTTGAGGAATGGTTGTTGGCACTTATATGCATAGTCACTCATGTAGATACGTTTTAAAAATTGTATAGTACTGTGTAAAGTGAACAATATCTATTTATACTTTTTTCGAATGTCACATTAGCCCATTTAGCTAATATGGCTCTTTATAAATATAACCACTCATTTTGGCTAGTATGGTAATAAAAAATATAGTTATCTATACATGGGACCCATTGTTGTGTAAGAGAGAAGAAAAATAGAGTGGGCCCATTTTCAATGGCAAAAAAGCTATTACCTGCAACTAGCTGGATTGCTAAGAGATATGTAAGGGCTGTTTATTGCCAATCCCATATTGGGCATATTGCTGACCCATTTCTCTTACCGACTGGTAGTAAGTCCACTACACTGGTTGGCATTAAGGAAGTGATCAGGAGGATTTAAGGTAAGCTCTATGTACTGACGAATGCAGGGGGGCTCTGGTGGGCTTTAGCCCCCCCTCCCCCACCCCCACCCCCACCCAAAAAAAATAAAAATAAAAATAAATACTATAAGTAATTTTAGCTCAGCAAATTTTTTATTTTTTGTTTTTTGTAATCCTAGCCGACTCCAAAATATATTAGCCCACCCCAGAATATATTTCTGAATCCGCCCTTGGCTCCATGATGATATAAGGTGAACTGCATTTGGATGGTTTAAGGCAACAAAATGCACTATGTCATTTAGTTGGAAGGGGTAGTGAGGCCTTAGGAAACGTTTATCCCAAACATGTCACATTGGCTTATACTCCAGGATAATGAAATGCAACCTGATTGGAAGGGGCAATGGGCAATGAGTCATTGAAAAACGTTGACTTTTTCCCACAAGTGCATGACCCGTGCTACTAGTGGTGGGAGAACACATCTAGCTTGTGAAAGGAATAAGGGCGGATCCAGCATTTCTGAATAGGGTGGGCTAACTTTGGATTGGGCTAATTTAGGGTGGGCTACCATTATTATTATTATTATTATTTTAGGCTGGGCTTAAAGTAGAAATTTTTCTTTTAGGGGATGGGCTAAAGCCTACCTTCGCTTACCCCTGGATCCGTCTTTGGAAAGGAATCCAACAAAGTTAGGTTAATACCTATGATATTATATAATATATATTTTTATTTTTATTTTACACAAATAAAGTAAAACCTTGTATTTATAAGAATTACAATATATATATATATATATAATATTTTGGATTCTTAATGTTGCTCGGGTTAATAACAATTTTGTCAAAATCTCGGCCAAAATTAATTCGGGCTCTAAAGTTTAAACCAATCCCTAATCCCATGATCTCAAAAAAACCTACCACTAACAATGTTTAATTTGTATCCCTCTAAATCATTTCATTTAATTTATTATTCTTCAAATATTTATACCAAACACAATGATTTTCAATCGTTACTTTTCTTGTCACACTGGCCTAAAACTTTCCATCCTCTTGTTTAATAGACTCTATTCCTATTTTTGTATCGAACCAGTGATATACAACTATATTATTTCGATATATACTTGAGTTTGAAAAGTTTCTTGGCAAGCTTACTAATCGAGTGACATGGTAACTACTAATTACAACAATTGAGATATTTATTTTTAAAATATATTTGTTAAGGAAAATAGTACTGAAACAGGGGTTTTTTTTTTTTTTTTTTTTTTTTTTTTTTTTTTTTTAAGTAATTAGTAGTTACCATGTCTCTCGATTAGTAAGCTTGTCAAGAAACTTTTCTTATTGGCAAGTTGACATCCAGATAAAAAATGGGGTATTAAAAAAAAAAAAAAACTAACAGTACTATTTTCCTAAACAAATATGTCTTAAAAATAAATATCTCAATTGTCTTGTACGGTCCACATCTTTCAAATTATAAATGAATAAATAAATTATATGTAGGTATAAAATAAATTAAAATAAAATATTTATAATATAAAAAAAAGACAACTGCGAAAAGTGCACAGAACTGGCCCCACATGAGATCGGCTTAGTAATTATCCATAGAACGATGGCTGAGGAGAATAGCATAGCTCGGCTTCATATGTACGGAGTATATATACTACTTACTTTCTCTATGCATACACAAACCTATACTTCATGTATATCTCCAAACTCACCTTAACCACAAATCGCCCAAGACGATGAAGAAGGTACAACTTTAACTTCTCTCTCTCTCTCTCTCTCTTTCTCTACAACACAATCTCTGAGAACTCCGATCTATTTTCCTCCCTTGGATCCGTGTTTCGATCCGCCGACTCAAAGATCGATCGTTGCTCAAATCTCATTCGAGTAAGATCAGAGGTAATTTGAAGTTAGAATCGAATTCAATTTGTATGGATATGTTTATGTCACATATACACAAACACATATAGTTTAATAGGTTTTGAAAATTTTTGTTTTGTTGCGATGAATATTTGAATTTTCTATGTCTGTTCACAACATTTGTACTTATACTTCATTTCCTCATTAGTCTACACTTATTTTGTTTATCATCTACTACTTGTTGAGATTATAGATATCCTGTTTATAAATTCATGTAATTCAACTTATAAAAAAAAAAATAATAATTTATTTTCTTGGACTCTCTATGCGGCAACCACTTTTGCTTCATGTTTTTTTTGTTGCGGATGGTGTGCTGTACGGAAGCAAAACATGATTTGAACACTACAGTGATGAACATACCCAAAAAAAAAAGAAAGAAAAAAAAAAGAAAAAAGAAAATTGACCGTTTTAAACTAGTCATTTTATTTTTCAAACTTGTTGCACTTTTTTACCAAACATGTTTTTATATTTTTTCTTCCAAAAATTTTACAACAAATTTTACATTACCAATCATGCTTCCAATCACTATTGAACACACTCCACAATAAAAAAATTGTTTTTGTTTTGGATGAAAACAAAAACTCAAAAGGCTTCTGGTTACCAAAAGGCCCTATGTAATTATTATTATTTTTGTTTTTATTTTATTTTTGTCAATTAAAGATTATAGAAATCCTGTTCATAATTTATTTTGCTCAAAATTCATGTAATATATTTTCTTGGACTCGCTTTTCGATATGGCTAAGCAATTTTATTAGTAGAATCGGTAAAATCATGCCATGGTGTATTTTATTTGAAGTATTGTTTTTACTGATTTTCACTGCTTTTGTTATCCGATCCAGAGGTTTGAGTTATTGGAAGAAAAGTTATTGGGATTACTTTTAATATATGATAATCATTTTTGTCCTAATTGGGACTTGAACCCTCAACCTCCTCTTTGCTAGTTGGAGGAGAATACAACTCAAACTAGTGCTTCTTGGTAAAGATTTTATTACCTTACACATCATATTCAAATTATTGATGAAATTATGCATTTTGGATACTTTTTGATAGGTGAAAATTCAGGAACTCCACATAAACCTCTGGGGTGGAAGTAATTATACTGAGGTCACAGAAAAGGACTCATCATGCCTGATCATATTGTACAATCATATAATGATGATGATGGGAGTGCTGGGCAATCTATGCATTCTTACCAATCTGTTTGGATGGCACATTGGATGCGAACAAGCTGCACTACAACACCTCAGGTTCATAATTTTTTGCCTCCTCATCGTGAGAACAAGGAAAATGATTATGATGTCAAGAGACCACAATTTTTGGGTGGGCTAGAGATAGCATCTGGCATTTCTACATCCGCCAAGAGATTTAGAGAACGAACTGAAGCTGGAACTGTTAAAATCATGAATGAGAATCTGACAACAGGTTCAAAAAACTTGATAAATCAAAGATTAGATTGCCAACCCTTTCCAGTGTTCAATCTTGGTCTAAGTAGTTGTAGTAGTTCGGCTCCAAAGAATGATCAAGACTCTTCATGTCACAGGCTAGCAGTAAGGCCTCCTCAAATCGACCACAACTCCAAGCACAATAAGGCAGGCACAAGCAATTTTCCTTTGGTACTTGCAGTGGGGCCTCCTGCGACAGAAGCCACATCAAGAGAGTTTTATTTCAAGTCTCAAGGTATCCCTCAAAATCCCATTGACCAGGCAAACTCTCATAAATTTCTTGGAGATAGCAGCTTGGCTGTTGCAAGGCCTTCTCCAGGGTCATCTTTCATATGTAGACAAGTAGAAGATAATCAACTAACCTCTGCTTTAGCATCCAAAGAACACTTCTCAAATGCTAATTGCACAATTTTGGAACATGAACGGTGTAACTATCGCAGCCATTCTACATTTTTGTTTTGTGAGAGGACGATGGATAACCACAAATCTGGAAACTCTAAGACTTTTAACTCACCCATGTCTTTACATGACAGTAATTATCATTTACCAGTGTTGGTTGGAGAGCAGTACCAGAAGATGCATAATTGGAAGATGCAAAATTCTTCAGGAATTGGACTTTTTCCAAGCCATAGCAGTCGTCTAAAGGATGATGTGGAGACTACGAGACCGTGCACCACTGCGAATTCTGTTGATGGACTGCCTGGAGGTCCTACCAAATTTTCTCAGACAAAGCACAGCCGGTTAATAACAGAAACTGAGGTCAGCTTGTCTAAAGAAAATCGAATGTTCAGAGAGTCAAGGGTGTCTACCAAATTCAGTGAGCTTCTCAGTTCACCTCCTGTTATTGGTCAGGATCAACAAGGTGTGAAGCTTCAACCTCCAGCCAGCTCCACAGATGGTGAAGGAAAAGAAATTGTAAAAGATGTAAAAGCTTCTGAAGCTTGCTTAAAGAATGAATCATCCACTGAAACTGACACCATGGACATGGATGCTTTCAAGGACAACCATATTTCGGGTATGTATTTTCATTTTAATTCTATGACATCTTTTTGGGATTAGTTTAAGCCCATTTTCCATAATGTTAATAGGAGAGGTTTCTGGTTCATCATGGAGTTAGGATGAAGAATTGGTCATTGTTTTGCCTATTGGTCTCTGAGTTAAATTGTTTCCCTTTTTGACTGTCACAGGTGATGATGATTCTTCCCCATCAAATAAAGTAAGTCCTGCTGTGCCTTTTATTCTTTTAAATATATATCCTGTTGACAAATTTGTAAAGTGGATTTCTCGATTAGTTCTCAGACTTCCTGCATATTGAATATCTCCTTTCTTTTGCCCATATGTGCATGGGTGCCTTTTTGAGGTTTATTTTCAAATGACTGATCTATTTGTGGATGCTGTTATTTCTCACAAAGGTGGTGAATGCTCAAGGTAAACTAAAGGGAGAAATACGATCACATGATTTTGTATAGATATTTGGTGCAGTTTTGTTTTCTTCTTTTTTCTTCCTGGGGTGTTGTATTACCTTTTAATTCCGTTAAAGATAAATGCAAGAAGTTTGTTGGGGGCTTTAGATGGTGAGATCACAGTGTGGAATATTTTTTAAAGTTAGACCCAATCATTCAGGTTTTGCTCTATACATCTCTCCCTTGACAACTTATTCAGCTGATTAATGTCTCTTGGCTAGACGTACTGCCCCGCATGAACATGATTTCCCAGGCAGACAGTTGGGAATGGTTCTATAGTGTGCTAAAAATTAAGACGATGATAGTGTACACTTAATTTTCCTCTTAAATTAAATACTTGCTGTGCATTTGGGAATAATATTTGCATCTCCTTTGTCAGTTAAGATGGTATTTTAATGGATATTTTCAAGGATGAGCCTTTTCTTTCTAAAGTTCTATTTTATTTTTTATTTAATTTTTTATCACCAATATTTTAGGAGGCATTTGAGCATTGAAATGGAAATTGAGAAAATACTTGAACTTGAATGATGCAATTAAAATTTTACTGATAAATCTGGAAAAAAGGAAAAGAAGTTATGGATGCTACTATGCTTGTTCCATTTCATTATATTCCTTTTGGTTACTTATTTATTTATTTTTTATTATTATTATTTTGCAATGATTGCAGTTGCCCACTTTTTAGCTAATTTCAATCTGGGAAACAGCAATAATGGTTGTGCTATCAAAATTGTCTGTAGTGTGGACAGGGACATGCTGGCTGATATGGGATTGCAGAAAATAGATCTAAACGAGCTGAACCCTTTGTATGCTAAATGACATTCTATCACATCATGTCTGTTTGGTGGTGATGTATGATCTCCTGGGAAAAAAGTTTAGTTGTTTTGGGAGCGACATAAGTAAATATAATAATAAAAGAACCAACCACCCACAAAACAAAAAGGGGGGGGGGGGGGGGGGGGGGGGGGGGGGTGGGTGGGGAGGGGGATATGTCCACATTATTACTGATTCAAGGTGGATACTTCCCGACTTTACCACCCTTACTTCCCAGAAAATGCAAAGACCATATAAGAACTAGGAAGTGAAAAGGTTTCCAGAATTTAGAAAGGCGTCCACATTATTTATGTACATGCTCAAATTTTTTCTTGATATAGAGTACTCGAGTAATGAAGTTATCTCAAGACCATATCATTCTATCAATTTTAGGAGTAGGCATTTTTGTCTGCCTTTAGCTGCTCAATATCCCTGCTTATTCTTAAACATTTCCTCTGAAAAGGTAAATTTAGAATTCTAACAATCTAAATTCTTCCATATTATCTGAACTTTGTTGCCTAATGAATCGAGTTAGCCCATGCCATTCCTGTATTCAACAATCAATTAGATGTATTGTTGTGTGAACAGATCACTGTGCTGTTTAACTATTATTGGTTGTCCAATTTCCTTGGATCTCTACTGATCATTATATGCAGGAATTGAAAGGAAATAAATGTAAAGTTATTCATGCCCCAAAATTGGGGAAGTCATTAATAATAGTCATGACCAGTTGTTGATTTTGCAGGACATCAAGGTGGGCCCAGATCTGTCGTCTCAGGCTACAATTGATGATTCAACTGGAGGAGAAGTTGGATGCAAGCGGCCTATCACCATGTTACCTGATATAAATGAAGAACTTCCTTCTTTTCCAGCTGCTGTAAGCACAATGGACAACGGGGAGCCAAGCTCCGCCAGAACTCAGAGTTTGGATGCGGAACACCTCCTTGCCCATGCCGAGCAGTTCAGTAATTCAAAATATATCCCTCTCACAGGCAGTATGCTAGGACCTGAGCCTACCAGCAGATGGGTTAAGCGTCTGAAGCCAATTGCTTCAGATTCTTTTGCCCTTGGTACTAAGAGCACAAATCTGGGAGAAGCCACATCCCATGAAAAAGCAAAAAAGTTCAACAGAATTATGAAAGGCAACATAAGTAGCTCAGAAATGATTTTGGGTACATGTCATGACAAAGAATCGATGGTGCTAGATCAGACTGCCACGTTATTGGGGGATGGTGAGTCTTCTTCGATAAACAAATCAAAAGCAGGCCGAGATGCAATGCTTTCACATTTTTGGATCCAGAGGTGGTGTCACAATGCAAACCTACAAAAGAAGCCTAAAGCAGTGGCGGTTTGTGAGCCACAAAGTTCAAAGGTGCCGTTTGACGAGCTTCATAAGAAGCAGTTTCCAAGCATTGCTGCTATGGCCTTAATGGGGAAGGCCATGAGTTGTTTTCAACCATGTGAGTTCCAGAAGAGGGGTTCTTTTATAGTTTGGAACTAATAATGCCGATTCTCTTGGGAGTCAATATTTGATAAGGATAAGAAATGCTTTTGCCATTGATCACTCGAATCGATGGCAGTTTGTGGAGTTCAAAATCCCCCATTTTGCGTTGTAAGTATTCTGCCTTTTTCCTATTTTGTCCTGTGTTTCTTCTGTCAAGGAATAGGTTTTTTAGGTGGCCAGTGCGGAAAGTTCCAGATCGCCTTGTTTCTTAAACAGGCCACTTAGGTAGCAAGTGAAAAACAGTTTAAAACCAATAGCATTTCTTAAACAGGTCACTTAGGTGTCCTTTGCAACATCAATAGCATTTCCTTTGAAAAACAGTTTAAAACCAAAGTTTGGTTCCCTCTTTTACATAATAAAATAATATGTTTTTGTATATAACTCACAAGAATGCATGTAACTTACAAGAATGTAACGATAAGAAAATTCTTAAAACTAAACCATAATGCATTTAACTTGCAAGAATGAAACGATAAGAAAATTCTTAAAACTTAATTAGTTGCATATTAGTTAAATTTCTTTGAAGGGTGTGCCAAGTGATGGTGAAACAGCCAAAAAAAATAAAAAAGGGTAGATAGCTTTGTAGGTTGATTTAATCAAACCATTAACCAGCCATATTTTGGGGGCTTAGGTGGTGTTTAAAGAATTCCCAATATGGAAGAACAATATGATTCACTTCTTTCCCTCTTCCCCTTCCCCCCTTAAATGTACATTACTGAAACCATTCACATGACCCTGCATCATTCCATGAAGTTTAGTATTTTATTGTATTTATTTTTATTTTTATTTTTATTTTTAAGTTCAAGTTTATTTTGGGCCGTGGATGTATTTCTTTAGGAAACCCCAGTAGGAGAGATCAGTAAAGGTGCTATTTGACATGGTATAAACCTTGAAGGCTTGCTATTTGTTCTATAGTTTTTGACATTTTTGCGATGCCTGCCGTTTCTTGGGAAAAGACTTTGATGTCATATGATCTGACAAATTATATTGTTGCGATGGACAGGTACTATATGCATGTAAATCTAAATGCTTGCATGAAAGGGTTTGAGTTTTGGCATTATCGCTCCATACACCTAAGAGTTGGGAGGTCCAACAAGCGAAGAGTGAAAAAATGAACAGTATGGTGACATGTTTTCTTCAAGACTTTGGGACGCCATAAACAATTCCCTGCAACTTCTGGATAATGGAGACTACGCCCAACTTTGTGCTTTCATTGTTTATACCTAAAGCTGCATGTCTAGCTTAAGATTTTATCATCCCTTTTGATTCCTCTTTCTGTATTATATTGCTTTGCATATTTTGAATTTGTATGAGCAACTGAATGTCTTTGTTGTCTTTGTCATAAACATCTAATTCTGAGAACTGCAAGAGACGTAAAACTTATCACTGAAAAGAATGCGAATCTTGACCTAGAGTTCCACTGTACAGCTGACCTTGGCATCTTGAAGCACTTTTCCGGATAGGTGACAAAAGTTCTACTCATCATGGTTTATGTAAGCATAGAGTATGGTGGTAAAAACAAAATTGCTTATCCAAATTTAGGCCTATAGCATGTTTAGGACAATAGATATTGGTTTGAAATAGTTCATAACATATCAGATTTTTTTGTCCATACACTTGTTACCAAATTTGTGATATTGTGAATTTTAGTATTGTAAAGGAGGAACTAAAGTAAGTTTTTGAAAATTTCAAAACAAATTTTCGTTACCAAACATGGTTTTAATTTCTATTCAAAGCATGCCGTGCTTGTTTTACCAATTCAACTAATGATCAAAGGAATGGTAAAAAAGGCAATTACCATCCATGTGTCGCAAATATATATGATTTTGGATTGTGAAGGAGCTACTTAACCCGAGAAGAGAAGTGGAGAAAAAAAAAAATGCTGTCGAAATCATATTCTCCAAGAACTTTAGCTTAAATCGTAAAATGGAAAAATAAAATAAAATAAAAATCTAAATACATCATCTTAAACCCATTATACTAGGGTATATGCATATAGAAGAGGAACTGCATATCAGCAAATTACTCTGAAAAGTTAGCAGCTGTTCAACAGGGTGAAATGGAGATGGATATTGTCAAATCTTGGGAATCACTAATGAATGTTTTACTATAATGCTAATTACTTAATATAAATTATGATATAATTTTAATACAAAGCTTAGTTCCAGAGTTATGGTCTTGTTAGTTAATAATGTTACAAGCAAAAGCTTCAACCCTCTTTATAGAAGACTCCTCTCTACAAGGGAAAGAAAGTAAGCAAGCTGGGGCAGCCTCAATTTTATTCAACATCATTTCTCAGCTACAAGCTCTTTATGTACCACTTTTTACATGCAACTTGGGAGATATTAATTTACATACTTGAAGCTACTGCCGAGAACGCGACTCCGGTTCACCATCCCTTGAGCATCTCTAACACTCACCGCCAAGCTAGTCCATGGCTACCTGAGATCCATTTATATAACCATTCCATCGTTAATTGTTGCCTTCTCCAATATAATGGTGATCCCGTTTCGAATGTGAAATCCTTCCTCTGGTCTGTCTGCTTCTTGAACACCCTAAGAAGCCGAAGAATTCATTTATAAGTAGATTTAGATTATACTAATTCAGAATTTCAAAGTTAAAAGAGAATGAAAATGATCTTATAATAAGAGCATTGCATGGGCAGCAATTCTTACATCTTTGTTCACGATGATGACATCTTTCCCTATCTTTGCATTCTTGTCAATTATACACTTCCTTCAAAAGAGAGAAAAAATAAAAATAAAAAAATACAATCAACACTTCAGAATTTCATGTTTTGATATTTCATATTTCTGAGTCTCGGTCTGCTTAATTACCTGATTTTTGTGTTCCTTCCAATCCCAATTGGGACCTTCCCCTCTGCTAGCAGGGATGCAATTTCAGATTCTGTTTGGTAATTGTCTGCCCCCAGCATCAAGGTATCCTACAAAGAAGAAACAATAATAAATGTAAACCATGTTGGTGGTAAAATTTTACTCTTGAAAGGTAAAAACTCAAAAGAAATTGTTCTTCTTGCCTTGAGCTCAACGCCAAAGTCTAAACGCGAGCGTTCGCCAACAATGGAGTGTTCAACTTTACATTCTCTCAAGAAACACCCATGTGAGATTATTGCATCCTTAATCTGCACAACAACCCAAAACTCCAAAGTGAAACAGAAGAAGTAAGGCCTTCAAAGAAGCCACAATAAATTCTAGCAAAGTAGATACCCGGCATTTATCAATTTTGGTTGGTGGTAAGAATCGCGGGGACGTGAAGAATGGTGTCTGTGGGTCATAAAATTCAAACTTCGCAATCTGCATTAGAGAGTAGCATTGTTTCAATTTCAGGTGTTAGTATCACCTCAAAAGTAGAACTTTTTGAAATGGAGAAATCGAGGTTGAAACTGAATTAGTCTTGATGCTTTTCCAATAAAACCCACCTCTTCAGTAAGGGCTAAGTTAGCATCATAGAAAGATTTTATTGTACCAATGTCCTCCCAGTAGTCTTTGAATAGATATGCCTGTCAACATAAAAGACATTCATGTAATCAACACTAAATTTCATTTTATAAATCTAGTGCAAGGATAAATAGGGTAATAATTACTAAAGTGGATGCGCACAAGGTCCAAATTTATGGTGCTTTGGTTAAATCATACGAATTTCAATTAATTTTATTTAATTTCCTGGTTCTTGGGTGATGAATTAATCCACCAACTCTCCACTGGAGAACAAGTTTGGCAGAAGCAAATTCAAATTCTAGAGAAGTTTCTCTTACTTGGACATTGTGCTCCATCACAGCTGCAGGAATGATTTCAGAACCGAAGTCATTGGATGTTGGATATCTCCACCTCAGAAGGTTCAATAAAATATCCGTCCTAAATACATAGACTCCCATTGAAGCAATGTACGGAGCTTCCATGGCGTCCTGTGGAGACAACCCTAGGCGAGTGGTATCCACTTGCTGCATAAGCCAACATGAGCATGATCAAACAAAATAAAATTCAATATCATGTTGATATATTTTTTTGCCTAGTAAGGTTGCATGTGAATTTTGTAAACAGAACTTTGCTGAAATTGAGCAAGCTTCCCTTTTGTTACTATGCACGTATATTTTCTTATTTACCAGGAAAATTGGACCAGGCAAAATAAATTCGAGGATTAGTTATTCTTACCATTGCTTTTAGATCAGCACCCTTAGGTTTTTCAGCAAATTGGATGACTTGCCCTCTGCTGTCAATCTTCATCAGTCCAAAATCTGAGGCGCGACTGGAAAATAAAAGAAACTCAACTTGAAATAATATCCAATGGTTGTGAAGTAAACAAGAAAACACATTAATATAAACTTTTTTTTTTTTTTTCCCTTTTCTTCCCGTCCTCTCATTTCATCTAGGAAAATAAACAGCAGCAACTTGGAGCAATAAAATATTGAACAATTAAAAGACCCAATAAATAAAACAACTAAAGAGTATTCAATTTGAGGCATAACATTAGCATAAATAGGAGATCCAACAGACCTGTCCCCCACCGGCACGCATGAAACCATGATATCACCATTTCTGTCTATGTGATTCTGTTGATGCATTAGAAAGAATTAGAAAGATCATTGAAAAACTACAAAATAAATGCTCTATTTCATTGAGCCATTAAATTTGTACCTGCAAAAGTTCCATATAATCCATGCGGTAAAGATGATCTCCTGACAAGATAATTATATTCTCAATGTTCTTGTTCTTAGCATCCTACCAAGCATAATGAAATTTCCATCAGGTTTCATGTCAAAAAATGAAAGACGAGCGGAATGACTTCCACAAAATTCATCTTTTGAGATATAATTATTGTCAGATAGAGCAGATTCCGATTCAAACATCATATTTCCTACCTCAAACATCCATATAAATTGCCTTACGGCATCTGCAGTCCCTTGGAACCACTTCATACCTGATTCCCCTTGCGTTTGAGTGGCCGCCAAAACCTGTTCCACAGGTAAATAACTAAATAATTTATGGGAAAAAATTATGCAAGTATGTATGTTACTATGTGCTTTTTTCTACTTTATATCCTTCTTGAGTTTTGAATTATGAATAATCACAGGTTGTATTTAACATGGTGCAACATTGAAACAGAGCTCTCATAAGAAATACTTAATTTCAATGAAGTTGAATTCTCATCTCATACTATTGATCCCACCTTCTAGTGTTATTCATGTCACTCTCAATACAAAAAATTTCAGAAACATACTAAGGGCATATTTTCTAAATTGTTCTGTCCATAAATAATATCTCAACAAAGGATTCCCACCTCCACGAATCCATCGCCAAAGTTCACACCATTTCCAAAATATGTCCGCGAAATGTGACGATTGAGGGAAGCAGAATTGAACTGGGTGAGTACGAAAATCTTGTTTATGCCGCTATTGATGCAGTTGCTCATTGGAATGTCTATAAGTCTGTAGCATCCTCCAACTGGAACCTGCATACAACAAGATCATCACATTTTAGAGCACCAAATTTTAGCTTAAGATGATGCCAGGATAGTTTTACTTATCTGCACCAAAAGAAAATAAAAAACCTGAGGTACAAGGTCAACAAATTCGTATAAGTGAATTCAAATCAGAAAATTCAAGCTTTATTATCCAACAAACCACTTAGCTACTTTGAATTATATCAACATACATGTGTAACTTCATATTATCACAACTACAAAGTCATCATGCTCATGTGACCAGACGTAATTTCTTACAGCGGGTGTTGCAGTTCTGCTCGTAAGGGGAAAGAGTTGAGTCCCTTGACCTCCACCCAATATAATCGCAGCCACATTCTTCGGGTTTGCTCTTCGTCTCTCAAATCGCGGTACTTGTATGGTCTGCTGTTAATTTAAAGACTATAGAATCAGATCACTGATCACATATCCAATCATGTTCAATCACAATATTAAAAGAATACCACAATCTACAAGATTACATATTACTAAACACATAATCATTCAGTCCTTCCCACAATTTGAAAGACTTGTATTGCAGCTATTAATTTAAAGACCATAGAATGAGATTACTGATCACATATACAACAAGTACACAAAATCAAATTCAATCACAATATTTAAAAAAATACCACAACATCTATAGGCTAACATATTACTAAACACATAATCATTCAGTCCTTCCCATAAACACATAATCACTCAGTCCTTCCCACAATTTGAAAGTATAGCATTAGCTATCCAATAATAGAATAATCACCAAATACATACAAACACACAAGAGAAGCAAATGATAAGTTAAAATCCTATTAACATAGATTGAAGAATGAAAGTCACTTACCAGAGTCTCTTTGTCAGTATTTGTTGTCAAAACAGAGAAAGCAACCCCAGGTTTGATCTTCCTCACCCTTTTCTCAGTTCTCAAACTTTTTCCGAATTGATTCACACCCACACTGGTTTTTTGACTCACTGTGATCCTCTCCCCAAAAAACCCACTATCCCCATTACTGAGATCACCTTTGGGGACTTTTCTCAAATGGGTAGTGGACTTCAAGGTTGCACAGAAAGAATCCATTATAGTACTCCACCAGCACACTAGTGACTAGCCCATAAACTAGTAACCCCTAATGATGGTGCTTGATCACAAATGAAGCAACAATACACTAATCCCAGTAAAGTATAGGCTTTAGAGCTTCAATATAAGTAACCAAGTAAAGTATAGATCACACAAAGATAGAATTAAAGAGACAGTTGTGACCAATAATGTGTATATACTAATTGCCAAAAGAAAGTTCTAAAAACCAAAGTAAAACCTGGGAACCTTATAATGGATCTTATTGAAAACTCAAAAGTTGAAATTAGAATTAATAAGTAATACCCAGATCAAAAAAGTTTCTAAGAAATGAAAATTTCAAACACCCAGAAGTTGAAGAACCAAAATTCTTGGAAAAACAGAGTGTTTGAAGTTTTCAGAGCACCAAAAGTGTTGGAGATAGAGAAGTGAAAAATTATAGATTTCAGTGCGTTGAAAATGGAGACAGATCAAGAGGAAGGAAATGCGTGAATGATGTTGAAGGTTGTGTGCTAGCTTTATTGGCTTGTGATATGAGAGCTCTCACGGGAAACATTGCAATATATATAATAATGTATTTGGTCACTGTGTGTAATGACACCATGCATGAGTGTGTGTCAGATCTTTCTCTCTACAGTACACGTTTCAAGCCGCCTCAGCAATCGAACAGTAGAACCCATCTTACACCTGTCCATTTCAAGTACATATCGCAAATATTTTATGTGATCATGCTGTCATCTATATCAATTGTGAGCCGTGAATTTATACTGTCAAACACATTATTTGATGCTCGGTTAAAAAAAAAACACACTATTTGATGCATTAACTTATGAGTTTATAATTTTCAAAGATGATAATGATATGTCTTACCATCACTTGGACTACTTGTGAAAACTTTATTTTTGTCTTCATTGCTAATCACAAACACAACTTGCCATGATATGAAATTTTTTCTAGGGAGTCTTTGTATCATACATGGAATTAAGTCCACTAATTCCTAAAGGTACAACTGTAAACAGAACAGATTACCAAAAGCCACTTGCTACTAAATTCATACAACTATATGATCGAAAAGACTTAAAATAAAAATAAATAAATAAATAAAAATAAAGACTTTAATTTTCATGCCACAAGTTGTCACAAGAACACCCATGTTAGGTAACCTTTCGGACATAAAAGCATCCATGTTAGGTACTGGTATCGTACAGCAATGTTTCCGTTTGATTTTGTGTTTGTTCCTTCTATCTGGAAGCTATTGCTTGAATGGATGTTATGTGAGGGTAAATATCAGGTATTATCTTATCAAAGAAGCAGATAGCTAGTATGACAGAAAAAAGAAAGGAGATTGACCTAACCTTGTATTCGTACTTATATGTTACACTTGCATCAAGAGCTTTTACCATTGTGAAAAAGCGCGTGGATTTTCTGCAGTGTTTGATTACGTTTGATCATCCTCGTTACGAATATGCATGTGAAAATGCGTTGGGATCCTCCATGGAGTTTAACTACGTTTGACGGTCCTTATTATTTATATGCGTGCATAATCACACGTGTGTAATAAAGACTTTACGCTATTTTTATATAATTACATGAATTCATTATTTAAAATAATTTTGATCTAGGTGTCACTTTTACAATCTAAATTAATTTTGATCTAGGTGTGTGTTACTTGGTAGTGATGACTAGAAATGAATTCGCTATAACAGTCGCTTTTTGAAGCAAGTTTTTGTAGCTTTTTCCTCAATCAAGAAGATGGTTGGAGGGAGAAAATATTAAATTTCTGGGACAGATACCTAACTTTGTAGTAGCTCGGTCAATAAATATTTACAATTTTTCGTGATGACAAGAAATAATAACTACACCAATAGTTACTGACAAATTGGAGTTTATATTTTTGACATATAAACAATGACATGAAATTTTACCACTGCCTCATGTAATAATAATATATTCCCTTTTTAAGTCTCCCAAAATGATTAATTCTTTTTTTAAGGAATGATTGAGGCAAGTCCATTCGCACTTTCGAGGCAAAATTATTAAATTATTTTAAATAATGAATTCATGTAATTATTTAAAATAGATTACAACCTAAATTAATTTTGATCTAGGTGTGTGTCACTTGGTAGTGACGACCAGAAGTGAATTCGCTACAATCGTCGCTTTTTTAAGTAAGTTTTTGTAACTTTTTCGTCAATCAAGAAGATGGTTGAAGGAAAAAAATATTAAATTTCTCAAATACATACCCAACTTTGTAGTAGCTCGGTCAATAAATATTTACAATTTTTCATGATGACAAGAAATAATAGCTACACCATTGGTTAGTGACAAATTGGAGTTTATATTTTTGCATATAAAAATTGAAATTTTCCAGTGCCTCATGTAATAATAATATATTCCCTTTTTGAAGTCTCCCAAAATGATTAATTATTTTTTAGGAATGATTGAGGCAAGTCTATTCGCACTTTCGAGGCACCTAACCCAATGGACGGTTCATATTGAAGAAGCCCATGATGGTTAACCTCACTTGGCCCACTTGTTCTGAAACTGGGTATCTTTGTATTTTATCTGCGGGCCCACCTGATCATGGCCCAAGTAGTCGAGTCTCTCATGTCGTCCATGCCTCCATACCCTAGAGATGCATTCATTAGCTGACCATTTACAGCCAAAATGAACGGCCTTAAGCACCATGGTCCCACACCAACCTTATTTTTTCCAATTAATAGAGAACTTGGTGAAGTAAAAAAAAATAACTCAAATTCGAGTACCAAAATAACCATTTTGTATAAGAAAATATTATATATAATATTCAATTCCACCTTCCCTCTCTCCCTCCCATTATCTTTATCAAGAAGAGTGAAGGTGTTTCATTCGATGCATCAAATTTGTATCATTTTGATGCATTAGATGAAACACCGAGTCTCTTGAAAAGAAGAAGAAATTTAAGTTTTTGTTATTTCAAGTGAAAATCATTCATAAGGAGGTTTCTTCAATATGGACAATTAATATTTTACTCTTTTAAAAGAACTTTCTTAAATTAATGATGCCTCAGATCATATATGCTTCATGATACATAGGACCAAGGACAAGTTGACACAACAACGTAAAAGTTGGATCATAATTCCAACAATTACTTACATACGATATGAAAGATCATGAAGGGGATGGATTGAACATTGTGCTTAGTCAGTGGTACGATAATGATTTTGGCTTTTAAAAATGAAACGGACGTCCAAGAATGTGATGTTGATGGGTGGCTTGACTATTAAATTTGGACAACTGACCCAATTGATATTTTAACTGAGTGAAGCTTTCCTGATCGTACACGTGTCAACAAATTACAGGCCTCTCTGATACTGACAACAATTTTTCATTCTGTAAATTTCCAAGGAGATAAATGCAAAAATAACACTGGACTAAGTTTATTTTTCGTAGATTGAACAAGTCCCTATAGTGGACCCACAAAGAGCTAAGAGTCATATGACATACCCTTAAAAATATCAGGCATGTCACCTGCAAGGCTGGCCGGTCAAGATCAGGGTCAAGAATCACAACTGAAAGGTCAGATCCCAATAATAAAACCCACTAGGGTATAGGCAACAAACCATTATGTGACAAAATTTCACGTGTCATGTTGGTAAATAATCAAATATTAGTATTATACAACTCTCAAATGTGCTTGCATCCAAGAAATGAGAGCCAAAAGTGACACAAGAGCCATTCCCATCGAAAAAAATTAGCAATCCGTAATCAAATACCATCCCACTGCATTGATATTATCTACATTTTACACACACTATATATACATACATACATACATATATATATATATATATATATATATATATATGATGAACCACAAGTGAGTATTTGGTGAAGAGAAATTGACATATCTCCTCATTCTTGAAGAGAGGAGGGGGGATTCGAATCCCAGCATGGTCAATAATATATCTATATATATATATATCTATATATATATATTTGTTCTCCGATTTGGAGAGGAACTGAACAAGGAATGAAAATGTAGTTTTTAAACAATATTGGACAGTGAAAAACATACATGCCATTCACAATGCCACAAATAAAAACGAACTAGTGCCCTAATGGAACAGATCGTCTAGCTCAAGTACAGTCAGCCAAAAGTTCATAAAGACGACCTGGGACCATTCTCTACACTGATCAACTTTCGAAGTTTCCCAACAAACAAATATTATTACTAACATTTTTATGCTTATAGTAGAGCATAGGACCAGACAATGTAATCAAGTTACCTATCATACTGTTTCTGCCAGAATGTAAGTTAGCAACATCCACTTCAAAAATTAAAACCAAACACATAATGAAGTTGAGTAAATCAAAAGAACCAATTCCTCTTTAGGGAGATCCAAAAAAAAAAAAACCAATTCCTCGGTTCGATCTCCTTGTGTAAATCCTTTTTATAACTAGTGTAAATCCTTTTTATACACTATTTTACAAATTTTTCCTGCGTCTATAGAAAATATTTTTTCCCTCGTCAATAGAACAGTGAAGTATATGATAGAGACATAATATCAATAATAAGAAAACCAGAATTCCATACTTGGGATCTGAAAGATTGGCCGCTGAATGAAACTTTTGAAAGGTTTGATAGATTCCCCATTAAATAGAAATAAATCGAATGAAACTTAATATTCATACCAAATCAAAACAGCTATGACTAGCCAAAACTGTGTCTTCACAGAACATAAATGAGAGTTTAAGCCAACTCAAACATAGCAGCACTCTAAATTACCAATTCCATGGAGTTCTATAAAGAAAGGCACGAGGCATCTAGGTATTAGTTGCCCTGGTATAAATCTGCTGGCTCGCATGGGCAGATACCATTCTGATCAAACCTCTAGCCATCAATTCTCTTATTGCCTTCCTAGCAAGTGATCCATTAACCTGCAAGATTTATTCAGAAGGGGGGAAGAGAAGGAAAAACACAATGGACAACAAAACATTAACATTGTAGAATTTGAATATATAAGACAGGCAAAAACTAAAAAGAAAGAAAAATATCATATAACTCCCAATTTTAGAGACTTAAAAGAAAAAAAAAATGGGGCAATGTTGAGCAATTGTGCTTGTCATATACAACACTCACACGCAATATTTATTGCAAGAACCTATCATATTAGGTCACAAGATATATTTGGTGTTAAATAGACATCAAGACTTGAGCATCAATGTCATTGGATACAACATATAAAAAGCAAAAGCAAATGCAAGGGAAGAGATGCTCTCATCCCAGATATGCCCCTTGGATATGTATATACCATGCAACTCTTGCTTTTGCCGTTTCAACTATCACTGCTGCATTACTACCAGTCTTCCAATACTTTCAAATTTGAAATTCCACACCAATCATTTATCCCTAAGAATATTCAATGGTATAATACTCTGCTGGGTATCCATAATTTTCTTCCTCTTCTCTGCCCGTTTGGTTATGCATTCCCCATAGCAACTACCAACCAAGGCCCAGTGCAGCAAAAAATGTGACTTTAATCTAAAACTTGATCCATATCTACTTATCATTGCATTTAATGGAAGACATATAAGAAATAGAAGATAAGGTATGAACACCTGACTCGCATTATAGAAGTATGTAAAACTGTCATAAGGAGTCCCTAACATGGTACAAAAGCATGCATTCCTATGTTATAATCCTGATTCTAAATTATAAACAATGTGTAACAAAAATGATGAACTTTGGCACACACTTGGAGAACTAAATGTGTACAAGCCTAAATTATAATTGGTGCCCACTAGCCAGCTTTTAAAATGGGAGTAGGCATGCTCCAACTACAGCTAAAAACACAGGTATGCAAACTGTATCATCATCATTTGTCCCTTTTTTTAACATGAATGAAGTAAGCCACATGAATTATCTTTTTTATTCTATTCTGTTATACAAGATGACGCTTCTGGTATTTAATTTTTGAAAGTCATTTTTAGTTACTAAATTCTATGTTAGTTTTGGTCAGCCTTATTCCCTCTTGCTTTCTATGCAAACTAATCTTCCCTCCCTTGCAGAGGCATCAATGGATCTACACGCTGTATATCCAGGCGCAATTCCTAATCTCTCCCTCACACTTTGATTAGTAAATCTATTTTTTCTTGTCACTCCTATCATCCACCTCAACATCCTTATTTCCGTTACATGAATGTGTTACTATTTTCTTTTAAATGCCCAACACTCTGCCCCAAATAAAATAGTTGGTCTAATGACCATACTATAAAATTTCACTTTTATCTTTAAGTATTTTTCTATTCAAAGGATACTACTTGCTTGTCTCAATTTGGTCCATTTTACTAGCAATATCATCATTTATTTTCCATTTTTTTGTATTACTAATCAAAATTATTGAAAATGATTATTTTTTGTTAATCTTATCGTCTTGGATTGCTATTGTTAAATTATTACTTTCTGAATCTTTATTAAATTTACATTCAGTATATTCTGCTTTAATCTTACTAATTTTTAAGCCTTTTGAATCTAATGCATTTATCCAAGTTTCTAATTTTGTTCCCAAGTATTCCAACTTCAATATTATACATTATTATACATTATTCATGCACTAGAATTTCGAAAGGAATTAAGCATTATTCACAATCTTAAATCTGGACCTAGTTCGTTTCACAAGGCAAACATAATATATGATTCTCCTAAGGTATAGACAAACAACTTCACCTGAAGCTTGCTAAAGATATTTTTTTGTAAATTAATCCAATAAAAGTTGAATGAACTAAGACAACAAAAGCCCCTTCATTCTCATCCAAATCTCTTAAATTCTGCCCCTCTCAAAACCATCTCTCTTCTTGCTCTAGCCCCTAAAGATCTCCCAGATCTCTGTTTCAAAGACCAAAACACTATATCCAAACAAGATAAAACATAATAAACCTGAGTGAGAAAAACTAACCTTAATCCACCAAGAATAAGATAAACCCACATAAATTATTTTTTTCTAAAATAAACTCTGTTTTGCTGAAGGAATTAGTTAGACAGAAGAAAAGACAATGTGAAATAAATCATCTTCCATCAGTGCGTGTTAAAATACTTCTCATTATAATCACACTAATACAAACAATCACACCAATATCGACCAAATCAAAAATCAATTGTTCATCATCATTATAATCAAATACTGAAAAAATAAACTAGAATGTAAACTAGATGTGAGATAAGCTTCATACCCTGAGACGATCAGAGAGAATGGAAGGGGTGATGAGCTTGTACTTGGGTGCTTCAGAAAGGAGCTTGTCGTAAGTGGCCTTGTCAAACAACACCATGTTGTTCACCTTCTCCTTCTGCTTTCCCTTGCTCCACTTCTGTATTCGACCACACAACATCAGTGAGTAACATCGCATTCACAAATCACACACACACACACACATATATACACACACAAATATAGCAGAAGAGAGATGTTTTGACCTTCTTCTTTTGTTTGCCACCGCCAGATTTAGCTGGCTTGGAAGACGGAGGAGGAGCCTTTTCCTTCTTTGGCGCCTGCAAGAAATCCCCAGATTCAAATTAGTTAGTGAGAGGGAGTTTTAGAGAGAGAAATCATTTTAACATTGGCCGATCTGATCAATCTATCTGTGTAAATCAATACCGCCGATACGTACCATCGTATTCCGATATGAGTGAGTGAGATAGGGGTTTGGGCAGCGGGGTTGAGAGGTAGAGACTAGAGCAGACGGAGGCTCTTCTAAACCCTAGGCAAGTGCTTTATGGTGAGTTTTACGCTTTGTTTGGAATCAATTATTTTAGGATTTGGAAATGGAATCTGAATTGGAGTAGGAATTATTTTAGGATTTGGAAAAGGAATCGACGTCGTTTGGTTATGTGCGTTATAAATCTTTCTCTCACGATGTCGTTTCTTCCTTCCTTCCTTTCTTTCATATTTTTTTTTTTTTTTTTTTTTTTTTTTTTTAATCCAATGCATTTTTGCTTTTTCTTTTTTGCTAGGTAGCTTCAAGTAACCAAAACCTAAAGAAAAGAAAAATATTTAATTTTTAGAAAGGTTGGTAAGAGGAAGAGAGAAAGGGAAAGTAGGATTCCTATAATACCTATGTCAGGTGTCTCTCTTTATTCTTCTTTTCTGAGTTACAGAGAAATTATTGAAAAGGTAAGTTTCTTTTTTTAGTACAAGTAACTTGTTTATTTATACATTCAAGTATTACTAATTTAATTGTTTGTATTTTTACACGTGGATTTAAAATTAATTTATTTCTTTTTATTATTATTGACTTATTTTTTTTCATATATATATATATATATAGTTTTTGGAAGGTCAGAAATTAGGGAAGGTAGGATTCCTATAAGACTCATGTCAATTGTCTCTCTTTATTTTTCTTCTCTGAATTACACAGAAATCATTGAAAAGGCAAGATTCCTTCTTTAGTAAATTGTTTATTTATACATTAATGTAATAATAATTTAATTGTTTGTTTTTTTACATGTGTATACAAAATTAATTTATTTCTTCCTTTTATTATTGAATTATTTTTTTCATATATATATATATATATATATATATATATATATATATATTGTTTTTGGGAGGTCAGAAATTATTAATAAATAGTTTAAGAGTTGTTACATAATATATGTACATAACTATTTGTTTATTGTAAAAGTGTTTAGTGAAAACGAAGTTAGTATGAAAATGGCTAAAAACTCACCTATAGTAAATATCTCACTTCAATTTGTTTCACAACTCACGCCTATTCATATGTGTTCAAATCAGAGCCAAAACTCCAGCTTTACAAATACTCCAAAACTCTCCAGCTTTGCAAAACTGGTTAGACAACCTTAAAATGAAAAAGCTACCACTATTAGGATCATAATTATTTTGTAATATTTTTATTTTTTTTGTTCAAGCAAAGGTTTTAGGTATTATATGCTGTAAGATATATTATACTACAAAAAAACTCTAAACAAAAAATTTTTCTTACTTAGCATCAAATATTATCTTGAAATAAATAGTTAATGATTTTTAAATAGTCTACATTATCTTAACATCATCGGTCATGATTTTTAATTTTCTCATTCTCAACACTAACTAGATATAATTATATATATAGTATCCAATTACATTATTTAAAAATTAATAATAAATAATAAAAATAAAATTAACATAAGAAAAAAAATGAATATTTGAACTCTCGTCCACTTTATCAAAAGTTTAATTTTGTCACCTTAAAAAATAAAAGATGGAGGATTCAAGTACACAAAGAAACAAGTGCATAGAGAGAGAGAGAGAGAAAGGAGAATACAAAAAATTTTATTATTATATAACATATTATTCTATTCCATATTTCACTATTTCCTTGCTAAAATAAATAATTAAGTATGAATAATATTCATCTAATATAAATTTATTTATTTTTTTACTAGTTGAAATTATAAGGTATTTTTGGTAAGTAGAATTATATATTTTTTATTTTGATGCTATCCAACTAACAAAATAATATTATTAGACCTATTATCATATTTAATTAGAAACTGACAATTTAAGTAAATCACAATATTTTATATTAACTTTCATACTATCCAAACAATGAAATGATATTTTTTCACAAGTTTCTTGAAAAAACTTCATACTAACCAAATGAATCATAGAAATTTTATTTTATTTTTCTTTACTTTACTTTACTTTCACTTTTCAACAATGATTTTCATCTAACAAAAAAGTTTATGATGGTAAACTGTCTGTCACATACCATGTTAAATGGCCAAATTAATCGGTGTTGCACAATAATTAAGTTCCTCATTTAGCACTAGAATAATCATCCTAACAAGTTAATTAACAACACACATTAGGTTCAAACATTGAAAAATTAACAAACTACCCAGCCCACAAGGCTACCAAATTTACCTCTAGTTTCTTAATGAGAAAAAAAAAAATGGATATTACAAGCAAGCTAAAAATATGCCGAGCAAAAACTTTGAAACTAATGCCTACGAATAGGGCTTCTTTGTGTGTGTGGATCATATGATCAGCAATACAAGTACGCTTAATTAACCAACCATTTAATTTCAGGGAATTTGAATTGCATTTTCACAACTTGGATTCTTTTTTTTTTTTTTTCATAAAAGATTTTTTCCTGATTGCCAGACAATATATCAATATAATCAAACAAGAAATGAGAGATAATCATGGCCATGTCAAAGTTTTTTTTCATAAGAAATTTAGGTGCTACAGTATTACCGCTTCCCGTCTGCATCAACACCAACAGTCAATTTGAATGTGATTAGTTTTATAGACTAGATAGAAATAAAAAAGTTTAAGTTATGCAATATATATATACACACACACACATATTTATATTTCATGCAAAGTCGTCTAGAATAATAATCCTTGACGTATCTTTTAGCAAACCCCTAAAGTCATTTTGTATAAATTGGAATAGCATCCACTAGAATTCTCTAAGATTTATCTAGTGTTATATTAAATATTGTTTATCGATTCTAAAATATTTTAAAACATTGGATTGTGATATTTGAATAAATCATAATCATTCTTTGTAATTCTTTTGCCTATATATATAGAGGTTGAAGTTGATTTGTTGGTTACCAAATAATCAAATGTGATAAAGAGTTGGTCAGTAGAATACAAATTCTTCTATTCACAACTTGACTTAACATCACAAATGCTACCTTGTAAAACAAAACCGGTAGAGAAGAGTTGGAGATGAAGGCGAATTTAAATGTTGGCAAAATACAATTCAAGCATGTTTTGATTTTTGATTTTTTTATTTTATGTATCTCATCATAAGAAATAACTACATATTTTTATAATAAATTACAGTTATTAGATATAGAGATTTTTTTCTATTAACAATTACTATCTCATTATTATTATTATTATTATTATTATTATTATTTATTCAGTTATTAACTGTATCAAATTTTTTAATATAAAAAATTGTAATAATACAACATTTATTTTTTATCATCTTAAATTTACCTGTTCGTACAGTAATTTGATAACAACAAAGAAAGCTGAGCCTATAAGAAACTAAGGCTCCATTTGTTTCAGGTAAAATATTTTTTTTTTGAAAAATATTCTTTTATTTTTATTTTATCCGTATTTGGTAAAGGTCTATGTTGAGATTAAGGTCGAGTCGATCGGGCATGTAAAATAACTTGTCCAAATTTGATAGATAAGTTATTTTTGTTAAATTTTAATATTTTTTTTATAAATATTTTACGACAAACAAACATCACATAAGAAAATAAAAAAATATTTTATGTCCAAACAAACTGAGCCTAAAAGGAAAACAAAGAAAGCCGCTAAAATTTGCTCTCACAAAATAATTAATGACATGTTTAAATTTATGGAATGGTGTGAAATTGTATGAACAAATTCTTAACCAAAATATTTTACTAACCAATGCATGGAACTAAAAATATGAATTGAGGGACTCAGCCCTTTAATACATTATGGGATCCGTGGATTTGTTTGTTCGGTGCTATCCTTAGGATTTGTTTGATTTGTAATTATAAAAATAGTTTTCAGTTCTCGGAAAAATGAAAACAAAAATTGTACAAAAAAATTTTTTTTGTTCAATTTTCTGAAAACTATTTTTTGAAAACTCAATTAAAAAAAATCAAATTTTTAGAGAATAGTCTTCTATAGCTTTTTTCTGAAAACTATTATTAGAATTACAAATCAAACATGCCCTAGTAATTTTAAATTTCAAAAGGTGCTAAGAATTATCTTAAAATAAAGAGTTTATGATCATAAACAGTTTTCACATATTTACCATGAGGGCAAATTATTTTTTTGTTGCATATATGTTCCCTCATTTAGCACTAGAAGAATCATGATAGTGTACATAAACAGTAAACATAACGGTTAACCTAAAAAAAATCATTAGAACACACAACATAGTCGAGTGAGAAAGAAATGGGCTTCAATAACCTAACAAAAAAATACTCCAACCCTCAAGACTACCAAATTTATCTTTTAATTTTTTGGGCAAATTGCATAAAACCCTCTTTTATTTTTAATTTTTGGCAAAATATCCCTTGAAGAAAAAACTTAACATAAAACATCCCTAACTATTCAATTTGTTGTAAAGTGATATTATTATATGATGAAAATACTCCTCAATATAAATTTTTAAAAAAATGATTTATCTTAATATAAAATTAAAATTCATACAAATAACTCATTCGGCATAACGGTGTTAAAATTTTTCCGAAACTTTTTTAATGGTACTTCTATAAGAAAATAAAAATACATTGAAATGATTTTAAAATTTTCTTATTTTTTAATAAAAAAACTTAAAAGAAAACGAAATTCTAAAATGAAAATCATTCTAAGGCAAATTATTTTTAAATTAAATGGCATTTTTGTATTACAACCATTTTATAAAATTTTCTTAAAGTTCTATTTTTTTAAATTAAAAGGGAAAAAAATAAAAAAATAATTTTTTTTAATTTTTTTTATATTAAAGGGCATTTGCATCATTATAACATCACTTTGCAATAAATTAAGTACATAAGGGGTTTTATGTCAAATTTTTTTTTTCAAGGAGTTTCTTACCAAAAATTAAAAGTAAATCGAATTTGCTTCTAAACATTTTATTTTATTTTATAATTTATTCCAATAAATATATAAAATTGAATATATTATATATAATAATTTATAGGTGTCCTCTAAAGGCCAAATTTGGTACTGTATGAAAACTGTTCTCATATTATTAATTTTGGCAAATTAAGGAAGGGAGAGTCGAAGACTCGAACACGAATCCATTTATTTGAAGAAATGCATAACTAACTAAACCATTGAATACTTTGCATATTCACCAACTAAATTATTAAATAATGTTGACATATCCTCACATTTAGTATCAAATTTAATTCAAATCATTGTTGATCCAAAATCACCTGATAAATATTCTATATTTTTTTTAAAACAAAAAATCCTTACATTTTCCATCACTTATAAATTACTTGTGGATTGTAAAAAAAAGGTTTCTTTCGGAAATTGTCCCTTAAAAAATAGTTAAGACTGACTATTATCCCAAAATAGAGGACTGATAATAGTAATAATTTACGTGTCACCGAACGTTGACCGCATTAGTGGATTGGATTAAAAATCTTAATACTACTGCATAATATGATAATTATCTCGAAGTAACGAATAATAATTTTGCGGGGAAAAAAGCGAAAAGGTTTGAAAGCCGTTAATTACAAAACCGATTAGGGTTACGTACTCAGAATTTGAACGGCGTGGCTTCCATTTCGCATTTTCTCTCTCTAAAAACACAGTATCCAACAGCTCAGTGGAAGGAGACTTCGTCAATAACATGAAGCAGTTTCTCTCTGTCTCTCTCTATACATGCATATTTATATATGTGTGTGTGTTTATTTTTTCTATAATTGGGCGGTTGGTTATAGCTGTCTCTTGGCTATGCTGGTTGTTTGGGGCCGCAACTTCAGTGGATAATCGGTGATATAAACTCTCGCTCTCATTCTTTCTCATTGCCCCACCCACTTTATTTGTTTATACACTGGTAATCCCCTCTCTCTCTCTAGATTTTTCACGAAATATATTGTTATTCATTCTGAAGTAATTCTGATTTTGTTTCTAGTTCTTGAATTCTTTCTATTGATTATGATATTATCATTTGTTTTTCCTTTTGGCCTGTGATGTGTAATTGATTTTTTATTTTTGTTAGGTTTTTGTGTACTAACATGATTATGTATGTATATATATTGTTATTACATTTGTGCTGCGCTTGATGATATGGAATTTGGATTTGAAATTGTGGACTGAGTTCGAATTTTAAATAGATTCTCTTCCATTTTGAGTTCCAAAGCTTTCATGCCAAGTGAAGTATTATTGAATTTGAATTTCTTCAATGATGGGAATTCTTTGGGTGCTTTTGGCTTTTCTAAATTTATCGATTTTAAAGGAACTTGGGATCACATTAGGCTAGGAGTAGAGAACTCGAAATGTTGATTGAATCAATATGTGTTAATCCTGTATGTCAAATAATTGATTCCCAAAATTGTGGATGTTACGGCTATAATGTCGAAAGGGAAAAGTGGAGATGTGTTTCATGGTTCTTTTTTTGAGTCTCTCTCTATGTAAAATATGTAATGTAATATATAAATAGGAAATGCAATGGCAAAACTATCGATTTTTTTTTTTTTTTTTGGTGCACTGTTTGGATATGTGAAATGAATTATTTTTCTGGTAACAGGTGTTGGCACTTGGTGAGGGCGCAAGTTCTGGCATTGTGGTTTGAGTGATTGATCCTCCTGCACTTTTTATATCTTACTTGACCAAACTTGCAAACTATAATCACGAGTAATAACATGTCTGGAGCCCTTGAGCAACCCATTAAGCCAGGTAACTGTTCTATGTGCAAATCTTCCCTGTTTGTATTTCTTATTTAATTTTTCTTTGAAGATGAACGGGAGCTCCCAATTGGCTCTTAATTAATGCTATTCAGATCTAAACGGAACTTGGAAATAATATCTAATCAGTCATTGTTTGTATAATTGATCAATAAGATTCTTTTAACTGAAATAATGGAACAGAAAACGAAGTCGTTCATACTTCAGGTGAGTTACCATGAGAAAATGGATCTAGTTTATAATCTGGTTGTGCAAATAGGCATCCTCTCCTTCGACGAAGCTCCAACAATTAAATTGGAAGACTATAAAGAAAATTATTTAAAGAAATCCAAAATGAACAAATTTATGCTTTGAGCAAACATCTAATGCTGTTTTATATGCTGTTTGATTTAACTTGAAACATATTGTTTATGATCACGATTGACTTTAATCAGTTGGTTTAGTAAACCTTGTTATTGAAATTCTCATCCGATAAAAAGTTCTTATATCTGAAGAATAGTGCCTATGTTTCTTATTTTATTTTTATATATATTTTATGCGGAATTATCGGATAATAGCAACAACTACAAGATGTTCATCCTCTTGCTTGCTTCATTATATGGTGTTTCTGAGAATCTTTTTTGTCATAATCTGTATACAGTTCTTGAAAAACCTGACTTCGAAAACTCCGAGGAGGAGAGGAAGACAAGGCTTGGGTCTCTTAAGCAGAAGGCCATTAATGCCTCAAACAAGTTCAGGAATTCTTTGACTAAAAGGGGACGGAGAAATAGTAGAGTCATGTCTATTGCGTTTGAGGATGAGCGTGATGCAGAGGAAGTTAAGGCGGTGGATGCATTGCGTCAAGCACTTATATTGGAAGAATTACTGCCTACAAAACACGATGATTATCACATGTTGCTAAGGTTACTTTCTTTTCCATGTTCCATCATAAATAATGGGGTTGGCTTATGCACTTATTTTACGGTTATAATGCAAACTGGGTTGTAAATGAATATGGTTTTGTTTTATAAATTTAAAGCCTTTGATTTGAGTAGAAGTAAATAAGTTCTGAACCATGGGAGTATCTTCTTATTAAATGGTCCAAGGAATTTACGGCTCTCCTTATATAACGACATAGAAGAAGGCAAATGATTGCAAATATTGTGTTAGGGTTCTTAATTTTTGACACAGGCAATTCAAATTTTAACTAGCCTTTTCTCATTTTATAAAATTATATTGGGTCAAGAAAGAAAAAATGGTGCCATCTATAGATACACAAACACCTAGATATAACTAGGCTATGTTTTTTTATTCCTTGATTTGATGTAGATGAAAGGAGTACTCTGTGCATAGGAGTTCATTTCAACCGGACATAGTTCAATATGTTACTTGAAGTGTGTTAAAATCGACGATATTGTTTTATTTCCTTTCTTTAATATAACTTTTGCTGTTCTTGTAATCTTAACCATCAGCACATAGTTGAGTCTAGCAAGACACTTAGTCACAAACCATTTTTATTCTCTGCCTCATATTCTGTTGCTCTCATACTGCACTCACATCATTCTCTTTTTCTGTTTCATATTTCTTTTCCACTTTATTTTAGTAGCCAATTCTACTGCTGTAGCACTCCATATTGTAGTAAGATTTAATTCAGTACTTTTCTTTATTTCAAAGCAGAACGTTCTTGTACGAGGAGCATTTACTTCAGAATGCAATATGTGACTAATTTTGTAAAAGAGTTCATAGAAACCGCAATACATCTTTGTTTAAAATCATGCTCTTGAACTTATCTTTGGATGAATTAAAATCCTAAGCGGGTACTTTTATGATGACACAGATTTTTGAAGGCCAGGAAATTTGATATTGAGAAAACAAAGCAGATGTGGTCTGATATGATCCAGTGGAGGAAGAACTTTGGTGCTGACACGATCATGGAGGTATTTATGGGAACTATAAATAATCAGTTATAAAGGCGTCTATATAATCAACCATATGTGAGTGTCCTTTTATTTGACTATCATATAGTCACTGAATTTTTCCAATTAATATTTCTTTTTTTTAGGATTTTGAATTCAAGGAAAGAGATGAAGTGCTCGAATACTATCCACAAGGATATCACGGGATTGATAAGGATGGGCGACCTGTTTATATTGAAAGACTTGGTAAAGTTGATGTGAACAAGCTTATGCAAGTTACGACTTTGGACCGCTACGTGAATTACCATGTTAAGGAGTTTGAGAAAACCTTTGCCATCAAGTTCCCAGCCTGTTCAATTGCGGCGAAAAAACACATTAATCAGAGCACAACTATTTTGGATGTTGAAGGAGTGGTATGCAAGCATCATTACAAATGCTTTTAGTCAACCAAACATATGCGACCCCTTTTTTTTTTCTTTAAATTAACTGATCTCCAAGTGAAATATAATTGAGACCAACCACCTTTACTGTTAAGAACAGTTAACAATCTGCTAAATGTGGGTATAATCTGAGCCACCTTTAATTTTTAAAATGGAGAAAACCAACTTTAAGTGGGGTGTTATGCTAACTTCCCGGTGGCTGTAAAAGGTGCCCTCTATTTAGTTGCTACTGTAAAAGAGCTTTCAGGATCTTTTTACCAAATGAAAAAATTAGGAGGTTTTATTTCATTTTTTATAAGAGATGAATTGAACCAGTAATTTACATGATGGATGCTTCAGGGACTGAAAAATTTTAATAAGACTGCAAGGGAACTTATTCAGCGCATTAACAAGATTGACAGTGACAATTATCCAGAGGTACTCATTTTATCTTCAGGCACTCAAGTTGATGTGTTTGGTTTTCCTCTTTGTGGATGATAGTTTTTCAGTTTCTCATTTGAATTTTTTCTTCATTGTAGACCTTGTGCCGTATGTTCATCATTAACGCAGGATCTGGGTTTAGGCTTCTGTGGAACACTGTTAAATCATTCCTTGATCCAAAGACCACAGCAAAGATTCATGTAAATCATTTCAATCTTTTTACCTTATGATAGTGATGATTTTGATCTAATAAAATGCTAAACCAGTTGATGGTTTTCTTTGGCAGGTTCTGGGTAACAAATATCAGAGCAAGTTGCTTGAAATAATTGATGCTAGGTAACTTTTTTTTTTGGGGGGGGATCAATTGACAAAACCTTTGGTTTTTCCTGATTCTGTTTCTCCACTGACCTAGAACCTTTAGGTTTATAGTTTACGATAGTTCGTTCTGAAATTTACTGTTTGTAAACTTCTTGAATAACAGTATCTGTCAACATGTAACAAAACATTACATGGTCTTCTTAAACTTCGGTATGGGGCCTCAAAGCACCTTTCTTTTTCCTGTTTTGTGTCAGTGAGCTGCCAGAGTTTTTGGGTGGTAAATGTACTTGTGCAGACAAGGGTGGTTGTATGCGTTCTGATAAGGGCCCATGGAATGATCCTGATCTATTGAAGGTTATCTACCACCCCTTTTTTCAATTGTAATTTCCTTTGTTTAGTTCCGCGTGTTGTGGAGTTTTAATGCTAAAATTGTTAATTTGTTGAGGCAGATGGTTCATAATGGTGAGGCCAAATGTGCGACAAAATTTTTGATTCCGACCATTGATGAGAAGGTCATTTCTGAGGACAAGAGCCCAAACCAAGAGGTGCCCTACTTTGGATATATGTCTACTCTTTCTCTTTTAATTTTTTGGTTTATTTTCTTACTCTTTTTACTTTTGAAATTTGCTTAATTGGGCTTGTTTTCTAAAATTTCTGGCCTAAGGAGTTTATGTCATTAATTATTAAGTATTGACAAACTTTTCATCATAATATAGAGCGTGAAGCAGTGCAACTCCTTCAACACAAAAACAGTCACGGGCATGGGCTCACCCAGTCATCCACAACTCTTTCCGGTTTATGAAGAAGTAAGTTTTCTAGGCTCTCATCGCAGGTAGGCAATGCATTATAAGAGGTTAGGATGTGGGCAGAGCAGTCAGATGAACATATGCTTAGAATACCATGAGGTAGCTAATTTATATTATCAATTTGGTCAAATTTGGCGAATGTGTTTGAGGATAATCCAGAGTGGCTAGAAGGATGTTTATTATATTATTGTGTTCCAAAACGTATCTGAAGGTCATCATCATTTAAACTTTATATTTTTAGAAACCAAGCCAGGGAGAAACCTGGTGCTGGCCTAATATACAGTAGCAGGTTTGTTAGAAACTGCTCACACATTTATTCTTTCTGCTCTTGTTAACATATATATGTTGCATGAAGTGTAGAAAACTCCATTACATGTGGGGAAAAGTTTACTTTAGCAGACCTTTATCTGAAATTTTCATGGAATTGCAACTCACCAAATATTTTCTGCATGGTATATTCATTTATATTTTTAACTATTATGTCTGTTTTGGCAGTTCTATTTTATTTTTATATTATAATTTCTTGTGTTATTGTCTGTTTCAAAATCTTTTTACTTGGAACCAGAAATGACAGGAAGGAATTCAGAAAGGAAATTAAAGAAATGAAAAGACAAATAATAAACTTCTCTTCTATAGTTTCGTTCTGAAAAGATAAGGCAGGCAATATGCCTATTGACATACTTTTATTTTCTTTTTCCTATCGACAGTTTTTTGTCCTTGATATTGTTAAAAGCAAGTGGTGAAAATAAATGCCAGCTATCTTGTCTGATAAGGCAAGTTGGTAATGAAACCATGTGTATGCATTCGAGTACCCAGAGGAGCTTTAACGCTGTTTTCATTCCCCATCCGCCTCTTGTCTTTCCCCTGTTAATGTCTCTTCCCATTCCAAATGATGGAACTTGGAATATAACTACAATATTCTTTTATTCCTTCCCATTCTCTAGTTCCATACATTACTATCTTCTTCTTCTTTCTAGTTTTTCGTGCATAGTCAAGATCTTTTCATTATAAATTTCTAATTGAGGAAATAAAAAAACTAATAACATGCAGGTTCATGCAAGCAAAGGCCATGGTGCATATGAGCATGCAAGCTTCATTCCAGTTGTTGACAAGTCTGTGGATGCAGCTTGGTGTAAAGCTCTACAAAAAGATGAATTTGCCCTTTCTAAAGGTACATATTATTTTCGAGTATGCGCATGCTTTACAAATTCCTAATAATTGTTAGTTCGGAAGTCACTTTTTAAGTCTAATTTAAAAAGTTTTGGCATAGGCTCTTTATGGGACTGAAATTGAGGACTCTGGTTTTTAGAAACAACTCAACTCACCAAGATTTCCATTTGAAATGACAATTAATCACCTGAAATCAAATAATTTATTTTGTTTGAAAAATTCTCTGAACTCAAGGAAGTATAGTAACAACAACATGTATAAATGTATATATATGTATTTATTTTTCTTATTTTCATTTTTTTTTTCCTTAAATGAATTATCATTTTCCCTCATGCATGATAATAATGATATATTTTTCTCTTTTCCTTGAGCTGCAGATTGTTATCCCATGCCTGATGCATGCAGAACTTCTCAAGGAATGAACAATCAAGGAATAAGCAATCATCTTATGGCCGGGTTTATGTCGTTTTTATTGGGCATTGTCACAATGGTCCGTTTCACACGCAACATGCCAAGAAAGCTTACAGATGCTACCCTCTATTCTAGTTCAATGTGTGGTGATGATGCAACAATGATCAAAGGCCAAGGGCATCCATATCAGTTACAAGCACCCCCCATTTCCAGTGCCCAGTACTTGTCCATGATGAAGCTCATGAGTGAACTAGAGGAGAGAGTGAGCATTCTCACGCAACAACCTGCAGCAATGCCACCTGAGAAAGAAGAAATGCTGAACAGTGCTTTGAGTCGGGCTGATGCCTTGGAGCAAGAGCTTTCAGCAACCAAGAAGGTATTCGTTTCTTTTTTTCTTTCTTATCCTTCTGAGTACAGAAATGAGAGCTCTATATAGCATTTGGGAAGAGTTGGTAACAAACATATGGTTTTTCCGTTAGTTTGCTGCGAACACCATTGCTAGCATATGTGGACTTATAAAAAGGAATATCTTCTTACCTTCAAATAAAGCAAATGGTGACAAATATGCAAGTATGAAGTACTTGAAAGCTAGACAAATAGACTAGAGGAAGTATTGCTTACAATTGATGCTTTTTCTTGTGCAGGCACTTGAGGATGCGCTTGTTCGACAGGAGGAACTAAATGCTTACGTTGAGAAGAAGAAGAAGAAGAAGAAGTTCTTTAGTTTCTAAATGCAGAAGCCATAGAAAAGCTAGAGTATTTCGAAAATGGCGGCGATGGTGATTTTCAGCCCCACAAATGCTATATAGAGCTCTCTATGTTCACTCTGTTAAAATTCTCAAATCGGAGCGCTACCACCGTACAATATGAAGTTGGCCATGATTAAAGCTCAAGGTCCCCCCATCACACTTTCATGTCTAGAACTCAATTCAATCCAAAAGTTGACTTTTGACTGGTGAAATGAAAATAGGATTTATGTGACAGGAGAAAGATTTCTCAATCCTAAGCCAGAAAGATAATACGAGTAATTAACAAAGTTACAATTGGTGTGCTGGATTTGTTGTTAGAAAGTGAATGTTCTATGCAAGAAATATGCGACTATTGTACAATACAGTTTGCAATTTGGAGATAATTATATACATATAAAATTTGTAAGTTTAGCAGTTTTGAGGATTTTATGCACATTTCAATTCTTTGCTAGTTTTGGAAATTGGCCATTAAAGACACGGGTCTTTTTCGTAAACTTTGACCCATCACGTACAGATCTTAAGCTCTTACAAAATGAACATTTAAATGACTATATCATATATTAATATTGTTAGAAGCCCGATCACATAATGATATAAACAAAAGAATTGAAGCTTTAATTTAGGGTTATAATCATAACACCCCCCTCCTATCATCAAAATCGTGCATAAAACCCTATTAGAATAAAAATTAATAATAAAAGTTTCTGAATTGACAAAATTTATCAAATTACTCCCAAATCCATGAAGACATGCTATATAGGTTGTGAAATGTCAAATTTAACCTTACTATTTAATATTAAATTAAAAACTATAATTATTATTTTAAAATTACAAAAATAATACTCATCAATAATTATTATACAGTGGCATTATTTTAATTTTAAAATAATAATTATAGTTTTTTATTTAATATTAAATAGCAAGATCAAATTTGACATTTCACAACTTAACGGATCGATGAGTTGATCATAGGTAGGGGTGGGCGTAAACCGATTTTTGTCCAATAATTTTACCGGAGTGGGCAAGGTCGCTGAGACTAATGACATTTAAACTTTAGAGCCCAAATGGGATTTGGGCAAAAGTTTTAGTAACACAAGGAACCAAAAATATAAGAATAATTTACAACTTTTATATAACGCTATAAGTAAAATAAAGTTAAAATTAGATTATTTATAGTATCATAAGTCATGGATTCATGGTATTCAAATATTGAGTTCTTTCCAAATTTATTTTATGGAAACTTTTTGGACCATGTTACCAGTCTTAAATTATTAGAAATTATATCTTATTGTTATAAGATTATATTACACATAATTTTGTTATTTTTTTCACATGACATCAAATAGCACCTAAGTTTATGTAGTTATATAAACTTTAACATTTTATTTTCTTACAATTTTATATATTTATAGGTTATTAAAATTTGGGACAACCTGCTTTAACATTTTATTTTCTTACAATTTTATTTATTTATAGGTTATTAAAATAACTTGAAAAACCTAATACATGGTGCGAGCTGAGATACAATGGGTTTATCGGGACTTGGACTTCGCGAACTAAGCTATTAGAACTTTGGGTTTGGCTAAGCTCCGCCTAACCTGTCCAAATCCCACCCCTAGTCACAAGTTTGGGGGTAGGGATGGCAAACTTCCCATCCTCGTCGGGTCCCCGCCCCGCCCCATTTATAACGCGGATGAGGACCTTTTATGTAAACAGGGATGGGGATGGGGGTAAATTTTGAAAACCCGCCGGAGCCGGGGGCGGGGATAAGGTAAACCCGTCCCAATTAAGTATTAAATTACTAATATACTCTTACATTTAATAATTTATTACTAAATTAGATTTATTATATATGTGAAAATAAGAAAAATTATATTTTTTAAAAAAAAATAATATATGTTAATCGGGGCCGAGGCCGGGGATGGGGATAAGAGGTCGGGGGGCGGGGGTGGGTATGGGGGTGGTGGTGAAATTTTAAGCGGGGATGGGGGCGGGGATGGGGATGGGGAATGAGATCCCCGCCCCATTGCCATCCCTATTTGGGAGTAACTTGATAGAATATTTAATTATGGTTAGATAAGGTTTGTTTGTTCTTTTTCTTTTCTTTTCTTTTCTTTTTTTTTTTTATTTTTTTTTATTTTTTATTTTTAACCCTGGCAAACAAGAGAAGTTACATCTTATCACTTGAGGATTACAAGGCAAACAAGAGAAGATTACTGAACATCATCAGGATTAACCCCAACTAATGGGCCGAACCCACTAGAATCTGCTGGAGAGGCTTCCTTCCCACGCACCATAATGACTATCAATACAAACTTCGACAGGTGGATCCACAACTGACACAACACAGCATGAGGCGACGAACAAGGACGACGTAACAACGCACATCACCGGAACGAAGTGGATTGATAGATCGCCGACGTGCTGCCATCCCAGTAAGCTCCATCGGTATAGCCTGGCTCAATAATAGGCTGGAGACGCAAGATCCCAATTTGACAAAGACTTTGTCAACCAGTCAAGATTTCCTTCACCACCCAACGACAATCCACAGGCCATAGCGACTAAAGTAGATACATAACTATCATTGGATCTGCCCGCCACGGAACCCAGAGAGGATAGAGAGAGAGAGGGGGAGGAAGGCAAGCACCGACCACTAAAAGCAAAAAAAACACATAACAAATATGAGAATTAAACAGGAAACAAAGGAGATTAGAGGAATACCCGGATCAAAAGGAAAGATTGGCATAAATCAGGTATCGATTCTTAAGGCACAAAAACCCCAAAATTACAAGCCTCCGCTCACAGGTGCTCCTCCGTCTAGACAACCTATAAGATCGGCGGACTGGAGAAGAGATGGAAGCCATCTCAGAGAAACCACACCTTCTTGGAGATATCCCTAAACTCTGATGAACAAAGGACCTTGACTTAGCGAGGAGCATGTTGAAACTTAGTTCAATGTCTCTCACGTTACCTCCCTCGCTCTCTGAACACATGGAATCTCAATATCGCTAAAGCTTGATGGTGAGGAGTGCGAAACACCGTCGAAACCACACTCACTGATGGGAAATAGGAAAGCCGGCCCTCGAAAACACTAGCAAAGAGGGGAAAAGGCTGAGAGAGAGAGGAGAGAGTGTCACTTCCCCTATTCTTTTTAGATAAGTTTTGTTTGACTATTTTTATAATAGAGGGATTTTTATGATTTTAACCAATCTCAGTTCAAAAGGCAAGGTCATTGTTCAGCGAAATGTTCAGAAAACGGGAGGAATTGACCGGCTGGCTGATCGATATTCACAATTGTCATAAGGAAGGTAAAGCAGTCTCCAAATGAGTGAGACTTGGGGATGGTTAAAATTGATCATCAGAGGCCGCCAGGAGCTCTACAGCCATTACCGAAACCGGAGTGGAAATGGGAGAGCATTTTTATGGATTTTGTGCAGGGATTGCCCATTTTTTTCAAGGATCATAATTCCATTTGGGACATCGTGGATCGATTGACCAAATTAACTCATTTTCTGCCTATTCACACTGATTTCACTTTGGAGCAGTTGGCGAGGCTTTACATTTCGGAGATGATGCTCGAGACGAAGTAGCAAGAATGTCTTCCATGCCAAACCCATAAGGGCCACGCGAACAAACTTGGACCCAAGTTAGATCAGAGTCCAGAGTGGATCAAGGTATATTCTTCCACACCACCTAATGTAATACATTCTCTCTCTTTGGGGCTGGAGCTAATCATGATTGCAATGGAACTAACCGTGAACACCTTAACTGAGCAAATTTTTGGAAAATGATCCACCGGACGAATAAAAATCATCGGATAACCTATTTCAATTATCTAACCGTGACAAGGCAAGACCTTTATTGGTGAATTCAACAGCTACACAGTTTTACTAAATGGTTGTCAAGAACCAACGGCGACAAGAGCCAGCCATATGAGAAGCCTCTTCGCACTTAGAATGGTATCGACAATCAGTTTCTCAGATAAAGAAATGGATGTCATAGCAGTGAAAGATATGAAAAAGCACTCTGATCATAAACGCCACAAATTATAAACATTACATGAAAAGTTGAAATAAAATTGAAACTCACAACATAAGAGCAAGTAAAACAAACTTAATTATACAATTTTTTCATCACGGGTATGTATTTCATCTCTATGGAAAGATGACATTGTTCTAAACAGCAAATCCCGTGAAGAGTAACTTGGGTGGGTGGTATTGTTCAGCATCTGTATAAGCATATCCTTGCATATTGCGGGACTCCCTCGTTCATATCCAACACCTCTTACCAGCAAAACTTATTTTCCTGCATAACAAGCATTGAGAGAAGAAACACATTAATCTTAATTATCAAAGCATAAACAATCTCTTTCAAAACACACAAACACACATATAGATCATCATCTCACCCGAAATTTAGCCTCTTCTTGACGGTCTATGTAAGCAAGCATTTCCTCTTGGCTCATCAAAGCCTCATGCAGAGCCTGTTCAGTAAGAAGCACACACACATGCAATCAACTCATGCACCATTTGAAAGATGCAGGCAATCATGCACTAGAAACATAGTCAACAAGAGCAACATAATGCATGCACAATTGTGCCTAAAACTTGAAGGGAGGTAAATAATTGAAAATTCTCTAAACATTATTTTGAAGTAAAGCTCATCTAGTATTTAGATAAATGCAAAGAATGCTGCAACAGCCAACAAATTAGTGATTTTTTATTTTTTATTGCATGTATATAGCAAGCCAATTATAAAAGTGACAGCATTTATGTTACTCAAACCAATAAACTTCCTTATTCCCCAGACTTAACGGTTAATTCTTTCTATTTTACATTATATATTTTTCGTTGATTAATCTTGTAGTCTCAGAAATGCTTCAAAACCGCACTCATGCTTTCACAATGTTTTCACACAACATAAACCTCATGATAAAGCACATTTGTGGCAACATGTACATACAAAAAATTGATGAGCAAATTATTTCTGTTACCAGGCTTCACATCGCCCAAGTGTAAGCCAAACTGGTGATAAGTTGTCAGTCTCATAGCAATAGATAATCACCACGTTTACAAAGCAGACATATGAATGCAATCATTATTGCAAAGAAATAAAATTGTAATGCAGTGCTTTCACATAATACTCATACACACGAGTTACAGAAAAGACCAAGCCAGGGCTCCAATTGATAATGACCAGCCTGTAACCAAATCAGCAGTGATCCAATAACATTCATATCTGTATCAAACAGAATAAATTTTTTTAGCTGTAGTGACTACCTTTTTAGTTGCAATTAACTCTGCTTCTAGGGCATCCACACGGCAAAAAGCGGCGTTCAGCAGTTCCTCTTTCTCATAGGGCATCTCAGATGGCTTTGCTTGAAGTGTATCAACCTTCTCTTCAAGCTCAGCCAATCGTTTTAGAACAGATGAAAGTAGTTCTGCTTGTGTGTATGCTGGAGTTGGAGAAGGGGGGCGGAGCTCCTCCTCCTTGGACACATCAAGGGCAAGTTCCTGAATATTTTGGTCAGGATCATATAATGAGTTAGGAAGTTTCTTTGTTACACGGAATGCCACCGAACGGAACAGTGCAAAAAGGGTCAAGAAGAAGGCCATAAGCACTGCCAATATCCGAGCACGGAGCCCTTCTGGTGCCTTTTGAGTATAAGGCGGTTGAAATGTGCCTGCAATAAATCCTTTGAGATCAAATTCTTGAGAATATCAGAAACCTGACTAATTTGAAAGAAACAGTGTTGAATAAGCAAAATAGCATCAGATAAGCCATCAAAAATGAAGTTTCAATATTAAAAGGCGGAAGGTGGAAGAGGGGTATACTCATTGTATTTGTGGGGGTTTACAAAATAGGTTTAGCATGAAGGTTACTCTGTATTTATGCCAGACTACAAGATTTATGAAGTAACATAATGGAGCATGTTAGTGACATATATATATAATATGTCAAATAATGAAGTATCGTACATTAAATCGCTAAACTAGTAATAGTAACTTCAGTCGGAAACCTAAAATGTCTCGTGGCAAAATTATACCAAATTCACAAGTAACTGGAAAACAAATGAATTTACAACCATATTGGGTTCACATATATCAAATTCGCTAAAATGTTTGTTTGGGTTCGCCTCGTTAAGGGCTCAGTTTGTGTTCATTTGTTTACTAAATGAACCAAGCTCAAACAGAATTTTCAAGCTTGGTTAATAAACGAGGGGAACTCAAACACCCCCCCCCCCCCCCCCCCCCCGGCGCTTGGCTCATTTGTTCGCGAACAAAGCTCAGAACGCGTTTGCTAACATATGTAACTATTCATATACATATTAATATATACTTGATAATGAGAACCTAGAAAGAAAAAAAATTATACGAGAACCCATTAGGCCATTTAATTTATATATAAGGTCTATTTATAAAGCCCATATAAAGTGAAAGAAAATTAAGTTGAACTATTAAGCCCAAGTAAGCCCCATAAAACAATAAAATCCATGAGCCAAAAATATACACGCACCCAAACCCGAACCCTTATCTAACCTCATCTTCTAGCTAATATTTCTGGAAAATCTATGTAATAATTTCTGTTTTCTTGAACACATCTATGTAATATATATATATGATTGTTGTGTAATCTGTATTATTCTGTAAACTTGTACTCCAATATATGTGTGTGTGAGAGAGAGAGATAATAAGTTAACAAGCTTCAAGCTTGGCTCAAATGGGTGGTGAACGTTTGTTAGCCGAGCTCAAACACTCAGATGTGAGCTTGGCTAGAGCCGAGCTCAAACACTCTGCTGCACGGCTGAGTCAAGCTCAAACAGGCCACTACTCAGCTCGGATTGGCTCGTTTACAGCCCTAATCCTCGACCTTCAACTGTGTAAGGTGAGGAAGTACTACTAGGCTACAACCCTTGGTGTTAGTATGTAAACATTGAAAAACAGGATATTCGAGACAGTCTAAGCCAGACTTGCTAACCTTTGGATGCAGAAGGCTTTTGGAAGGATGCTTGCCTCTTCCATCCAGCATCAACAGCCTTATCGACCATAGGAACATATTCGTCATATCCTGAGAAGCTAGCAGCAGAGCTTGCCTTTCCAATAACTTTAGCCTGTTTAATCAAGGAAGCATCTTGGTAACATAATAGCTTCCACAATAATTTAAAAGAACAAAAATATATTGACATCGTAATTATAAAGAGAAAAGTCACAAACTTACTTCTTCACGAACAGGAGTCAACCTAAGATGTGAATAATTCCTCATTGCTTTGGGGGAAGCAATATCTTCAGCTTCAGACCCCGACTCCCCAGTGGATGTATCACTGCCTTTTATCTGTTACAATAGAATAATCAAAATAAATTTTTTTTTTTTGATAAGTAAAACAAAATAATTATATAAAAGTATAAACGGAAAACAGAGAAACATGAATGTATCCAAGTAAACTGAAAGTAATTCAGGAGGTTGTACCATTGGGTACTGTGGCTTAGCATACGCAACTACCTTTCCTTCACTGTTTAGAACTTTAAAAACCTGTCTAGCACACTGTGCTTCACCATTTAGAACCATCTGCAATATAATGCCCACACAAGAGATTGCATCTCAATAAAAGCAAACATGAGACACACAACTGGTCAAGTGAAAAGCCTATAATAGAAATATTTCACTGCATTTACTTCACTTAAGGGAGAAATTATTACATGATCCCGGCCAATCACCACCTGACACGCAAGCAAAAATATGAATAAAGCTGACACATTCGCTTGTGTATCGATTTGTGATTGGCCGCGACGCGACCATATAGTCCTGGACCATGTAATAATTTCTCTCACTTAAGGAAAAACAAAAAGTAGCTCCCAAGGCCAGGGCAGAACCTTCAATATTTCTGGGTTTTTCCATGGCCCTTTATCGGAATGAAGGCAACCCCCGCTATCCGCACAGGTACATCTACCCCCCATAAAATCTGGCAACTCACTGCACAAGTATCAAATTCCATAAGTTTTGAGATGGATTGATGCAGTTGTGAAATGAAATATAAGTAAACATCATGACTATTTTTGGAATTTTGATAAGACTAGCTCAGAATGCAAAATAACAAATTAACTAAGGGCCCATTTGGCAACCAATTCTGTTTTGCATTTATGTTTTGATACGAAGCACAAGTGATATTTTTATGTGCAGTGATTTATTCTGAAACAGAAGCATGTTTGGTAACAAATTTGTCGGATGTTTTGAAGGGAAAAAATGAAGAACAATGTTTGGATGATTGTAAAAAATATGGTATTCACATTATATTGTTTTTTCTATAAAAAAAAATGGTGATAACGTTTTTGTCTTTTTTTTTTCCGAAGCAGATGCAGTACTGTACAAAACGTAACAAAATTTACCAAACATGCTTTCGCCACATGTATCTGTTTTTCACTTGATTTGGCAACAATAACATGAAATAAAAACGGTTTCCAACAGACCCTAATCCAGTAAAGAAAAATCCCACCAGATTACCTGGCATCAATAAACTCGAGCAACTTGTTCTGGTACTTGTTTCCAAGAACCTAAGGAGAGATTCCAAACAGAAGAAGAATGATTGATAAACGTCAATGGCCCAATAGTTATATACAGTAACTTGCAAAAGGTGAAAGGAGGAAAAAAAAAACATTAACATACATGAATCTTGGATGTTGTTCTGGGGTCTAGAAAAGACTTAACCATATTCAAAACCATCTTAAAACCAGAACCAGCATTGATGATAAACATTTGGTGGAGTGTCTGCAGCAATCAAGATGGTAAGAAATCCAGGTGGATATTCATTTTTTTTTTTCTATGGTTGTTCTTATTGTGGTAAGTGAGAAACACAAATATACCCAATTGGCAGTTGCCATTTATAGGAACTTAAACCCATGATCTTCCATTTAGCAAGTAGAGGAGACACTACAAGAGCTAAACATAATGGTATCCAGGTAGATATTACAAATTAATATAATTCACAAAAAATAATAACAAAAACTTAATCATGGTATAGTTATCAAGTCGAGAGAATTAAGATTACTTCAGGGTAGTTGTCACCATCAATCTTCTGGATCCTCGTAATGAGTTCCCGTGCAGTCTTGGTAAAGTTCTTCAAACCCTATCATTAACAATAGAGTATAACAAAACAAAAATAAAAATAAAAATACATTTTAAATCTTCCAAAAATGTACAAAAATAGTCTAGTGATTAAGACAAAAATTACAGAAGAGGACATACAACGCCTTGAACATCTAAAATCGTTAAGCTTGAATCTATGTGCCTTTTTGCAGCGATGGTACAAGCAGGAAACTTAAACTTGAAACTTTTCTCAAACTCTCGGACATGGTATTTTACGTAGCGATCCATGGTTGTAACTTGCATAAGCTTATTGGCGTCAACTTTTCCTAATCTTTCAATGTAGACAGGTCTTCCCTCCTTATCCACGCCATGATAACCATGGGGATAATACTTTAACACTTCATTTACCTCCCCAAAATCAAAATCCTGATAATAACATTAACACAGAGAACGTGGCTGATTAAAAAGAAATGTTAAAAGTTGGAATGCCACATGCCAGTATGCCACAAAGTCATAGATTGACTACAAGCCAAAGATCCCAAAACAAAGTTGAAAGCCAACTCAGCACATTCAAGCAAATTGAAGATGTAACTACCTCTATAATAGTGTCAGCACCAAAATCTTTCCTCCATTGGATCATATCGGCCCACATATGCTTTGCCTTTTCGATATCAAATTTCCTTGCTTTCAAGAACCTGTTAATAATCAACTAAATCATTATATAAAACGAACATGGAAACCTTGTTAAAACACTACATCTGACAAAAATCCAGATTCCAGGTCGTTCCAAGTCCAACAATGAGCAAATAACATTACATGTTGTGATCCAGTTCTGGACTTGCTTGTGTCCAAATTTTGTTTAAAAAAAATTAACTGTCAAATATAATAATTCTGAAATACTAAAATTATCATCACTTATCCGCAGAGAACAGGTTGACTAAGGGCTGGGTTGGAAAGGGAAGGGGGCGAGACAAATGTTGGTTGCATTTTTGTTAGCTAATGAGGAGTCAAGTCATGAGGGTTATTTGCAAACTACATATTGATAAAATATATTACGATGTGAGATTGGTGAGAAATGGAGAAAATGGATTCAAAAATGCATCTGGATATTTAGATTCTCTATGTTAGTTAACCAGACTCCGACAAGATTTTTTTGATTCTTTAGGATGCCTCATATTGGAATCATCTTTCACCCCACTGTTTATCCTTGTAATGTGAGCTTTGAGTTGTATGTCAACAAAAGCAACCAGTGGAGGGTTGGAGGAAGGTTTCCAGCTGGGTAGGACGCAAGACCTCGGATTGGAGTAACTAATCTTAGAAGCTTATGACGCCGTCATTTTTTGTAGGGCATAGGTTGTTAACCAGTTAATGTGGTTGAGATGTGTGCTATTATGTTTTAAGGCCGTCTCAGGTTTGGAGGGCAGTTGGAGAAAGATAAATTTGATTTTTGTTTGCAAGGTGGGAGAAATTGGTAGTCTCTGAATACCAAAATGTACACAAACCCATGATCTAACGAAATTGGTAGTCTCTCTTGACACCCTATTTGGGGTTAACTTCAGTCTCTTTCAAAAGAAAGTGGGGTGTCTAGTAGTTGCCTACTAGTGATAAGATAAGAGAAAGTAGATATAGGTGGTATGACCACCTGTAAATCCACCAGTAGACCTGTAGATGCAATGGTAAGGAAAAGAAATTTTGTTTCGGTTAGAGAAAAAGAGGCCAATCAAAATTCACATGAGATGAAGTATTTAGAAATAATTTTAAGAAAATTAAATAAAATAGGGCACATGATTTGCAATATAAAAATATGGAAAAAGATGATTTATATCGTTGACCCCATTCATATGAGATAATGGCTGATATAATGATGATAATGGTGATGGAAAGCTTTAAAAAGAGGTTGGTGGATTGGAAGAGGCAGTATTTCTCTAAGCAAGTGAATGTGGCAGTTAAAAATACGTTGACTACCCTTCCAACATATTAATTTATTTTTGAAGGTGATGTATAATATTGATGTGACACGTGTCATTAATAATTTTTAAAAATAGAATAAAGCATCTCCTTACATGTTTCGGGGAAAGTATTTTTCATAGTGATATTAAGAAACTTTAGAGTTTTCTACAACCACCCCCGCTTAATAAGTTAATAATTTGAAAAGTAAAAGTTGGACATTAAATGGTTAATATTTTAAAAGGATTACAAAATAAGAAAGTAAACCTAAAGTTCACACAAAGCCCATGCCTTTTTTGTCCAATGTTACTAAACCTCACATGCCTGTGAGAGAGAGAGAGAGAAGGAAAAGAAACAAAAATGAAAACGAGAAAGAAAATGAAATAACTATCTGTAGAATTACTAGTTTTCATCCTCCAGATGGCTTTCTTTTCTTCAATTAACAAGAAGTATGAAAAAGAAACTACAAATTCTATTGTCTTAAATTGTATTCTATTTAATACCCACACACACATACCTAAACACCCCCCCCCCCCCAAGAAAAAAAAAAACACAACAATTAAACGAGAAAGAAAATGATATAACTATATGTAGAATTACTAGTTTTCATCCTCCAGATGGCTTTCTTTTCTTCAATTAACAAGAGGTATGAAAAAGAAATTATCAGCGGATTTCATAAAACCCCCCTAAACACACACTTACAGACACGGCATTAAATAAATTTACCATTTTACCCATTATGTAAACAAATTGGATTTAATGAATGCAAACCCTTGATCAGATTACCCAAATTGGATATAAGAAATGCAAACCCTTGATCAGATTTACCCAAATTGGATTAATGTATGCAAACCCATGATCTAACGAAAAGATTAATGAACCCAAACCCAATTTGAAAACCCTTAACAGAAAAAAATTAATCTCCGTTTCTACGTTGACTTCGAAACCCTAATCTGTTGCAACTACACAATGTTGAGCCAACATTGTTATGGATGAAAGGTTGTACCAGTGATTGGGTATTATGAGAGAGAGATAGAGAGAAGTTTGGGTTAGCAACCAATTGGCCAAATCGCAGAAGTGAAGAGAGAGAGAAATCCATTAGGGTTTAGAGTGGTTACCAACTAACGGAAGGTGTGAGGAGGAGAGAGACGCAATGTTATGGGCCTTATGGCTGAGGTAGGGATGGCAAATTCCCCATCCCCGTCGGGTCCCCGCCTCGCCCCGCCCCGTTTATAGCGGGGATGGGGACCCTTTTATGTAAATGGGGATGGGGATGGGGATGGGGATGGGGGTGGGGGCAAGTTTTGAAAACCCGCCGGGGCCGGGGGTGGGGATGGGGTAAACCTGCCCCGCCCCGCCTCGCCTCGATTAAGGATTAAATTACTAATATACCCTTATATTTAATAATTTATTACTAAATTAGATTTAGTATATATATGAAAATAAGAAAAATTATGCTTTTTTAAAAAAATAATATATGTTAATTGGGGCCGGGGATGGGGCGGGGACGGGGATAAGGGGTCGGGGGCGGGGGCGGGGGCGGGGGCGGGTATGGGGGTGGTGGTGAAATTTTAAGCCGGGATGGGGGCGGGGATGGGGATTGAAAAATTCAGCGGGGATGGGGATGGGGATGGGGAATGAGATCCCCGCCCCGCCCCATTGCCATCCCTAGGCTGAGGAGAGGCATGCATATATATACAAGGGCAATAATGTCTTTTTAAAAAGATGGGATGAGCACATGACTTGGAGAGTCTGATTTACTGTCATTGTATCAAGGGATTATTAATGGTGTGGAGTATTCTGTAACAAAGTGATAGTTTAGGGGGCTAAGTGTAAAAATAGTAGTTGATCCCAAAAAAAATCATAAATAAATTGATCAAATTTGTTCTTTGGAACTACTTTCTATAATTTTTAAATTTATTATTAGTCTTTTGTGAATTATATATATAGTTATGGAAATATATGAGGTAAAATTATCTTTTTGTAGAGTAGAAAAAATGTACATATATTATTAATTAATTGTTACCTGACCCCAATCAATAATTATCCTCACTTCCGGATCCAACTTCAAATCTTAGAAAGAAGGAAAAAAAAAAAAATAAAATAAAAAAAATACCACCAACAAAAGTGACAACTAAAAGACAATTCATTAACATCAAACAATATTATGCATATTAGAGAGAATAACGGAGTAGAGTACCTTAACATCATATGATAGTCATCATGTTTTTCAGGTAGCAATTCATCCAATACCAAAGCTTGTCGAAATGCATCAACAGCTTGTAGCTCCTCAACATCTCGTACATCCTCAATTGAGACAGAGCTAACTCGACCGTCACTCTTTCTTCTACTGCTCTTTCTCTTGAGAGAATGTCTGAACTTGGTAGATGCATTTATTGCTTTCTTTTTCAGTGAACCAATTCTTGTCCTTCTTTCATCCTCTGAGTTCTCAAAATCAGATTTTCTTTCTCTTCTCTCATCATTACCAGAGGACCCTTCAAAGCCTTTCACATGGCAAAAATTAATTTAGATATGAAACTACAAACAAGTGATGGGAAACCACGACAAAGTAAAGAGACACTAATATATGAAATTATCCCCAACATAAACAACTAATATTTACAGTTAAATTGGAAATGTCTCAATGATTTAGAGTTATGAGCATTTTCTTATAAGGCAACACTTTTTTCAAATAATCTTTGAAAATAAAAAGAATGGAGCTGCAGAATGTCAACATATATCATAGAGGTTGAGCTTCCTCAACAGATACCTAAAGACTTATGAATCCTATCCAACTTCAACTACCATAAGTGGAATATCCCATCTAACTTCAATCATCATGAATTAAACCGTGAATTACCAGGACACACAGCAAGAAATGTAATGAGCGCTCCAAACTGCAAAGCATGCTTTGTTGAGTTAATATGAGTCTATGACTAAATTCATATTGCCAAGAATACCGAAGTGCCATCATATTCACACTATAAATTCACGAACTAGGGAAGTGAACATAAAACAATTTCTTTATGCATACATCATTCTGCACCAATAAAGCTAAGCAAAAACCATAACAAAGAAATTTTTGTTGGGAATCAACTGAAACAAACACCCAATAAAAACCCCTTTTAAGGCTAGGGCCTGCTTGGTTCAGTTTCTGTTTTTTGAGAACTGAAAACTTTTCATAAACCTGTACAAAAATTTGTTTGGTTGACAGTTTCTGAGAACTGTTTTCTAAGTGATAAACCAAACAAGCCCTCTGGAAACAAATTCTTGAAAGAATTCTAAGAAAATACATTAGGTCCCTTCAGTCAGCTTTGAGACTACATATTTTTCAACATGTTTAAATGTATCTAGCTGAGAAAACTCCTCCAGAAAACATTCATTAACAAAAAAAACCTGATTGAAAATTTCACACTTGCAACATGCAAAGTTTGGGAAATCACTTCAAACCATACTAAAAATTCGAAGATATTCCATATCTATATAGTACTGCGCCAGATTTAACAAAAAGAAAAGTACGATAGCAAAACATCAAAAGAAAATCCTCAAAGAAGAAAGAGAGAACTCACATGGCCTCGCGAACCGATCCAATGGCCCCGACATAGGTCTCGACTTAGCACCAAATCCAGACAAGAACTCTCAATCCTTGATGATCAATCAAGCATCACCGTACAACCCGGTGAACTACAAAAACAAAACCAACATTACGATCAGAAACCCTAGAAAAAAAAGATACTAGCACACAACTATATCAAAATTCAATCAAAAAAGAAAAAAGAAAAAAAGAGTACCTAAAATCTATCGTCACGAAGCACGAGATTGATCGAACGGCAATAAATGAATAGACCACGCTTATAGTGATCTATGCACTGTAACAAATGAGTGGGTGTATCAAATCGTGCTGTCGTAGTGGAATGTAAAATGGATCATGAAAAATAAATTACATATATATACTCCATTAATCTCGCCGGATTTGGCGATGGCGAGGAGAGAGAAAGATATGGTGTAGAGAGAGAGAGAGAGAGATATGGTGAGGGGAGGCAGGTTTAATGGCAAAGCGGGAGGGTGTGGGACCCAGTGTCAGTAGACTGCTGAGTGTCGGTAGCCACGTGGCAGTAGAGAAAATGGAGTGTTTGGAAGCTGGACTCGGCCGGCGGTGTTTTGAGCGAGGCCTTTTTCATTCAAACTAGTATAGTGGCTTTCAGTTATAATTCTCGAATTTTCATTTTCATAGATTTATCAGTGAGTCCCGATAAAATTACTTTGTAAATAAAAAAACAAAGATGATTTTCCATTTTTTCTCTTTTTAAGATCACTCTATACAATGGAAATTGAATGTAACTATTTATAAAATTGTTACTCACTCTATACAATGGAAATTGATTTGTAATATCAAATACTCTTATGAACTATTGGTCAATTTATATCAATATTCATTTAAATCTGTTACATCTGGATTATTACTGGATTATTACTGTGATTGTAAATTTCACGTGACAAAGTGAAAATACTAACTATTTTTTATTACCCAAAATACCTAATTTACTAAATTGTATTTTAATGACTTCCAAACAGGACGGAGCCATTACAAAATTATTTCTATTTTTTTTTTTTTTTTTCGCACTTCAAATTTCTTAAATTTTCTTTTTTTTAAAAGTCAAATTTTTCTTCCTCAATTAAAACTCTTGTATTTTTCTTTCTCAATTAAAACTCTTATTCCTTTTAAAGTTTTCACATTTTGTTTTCTGTTAGGTAATGCTCTCTAATAAAATTTTATGAATAATGATGGGGGAACCGAAAAGGAATCCCCAAATTAACATTGAATTTGACATGGTTAATCATTCTTATCACGTGTTAAATAATTATTATTTTTTTATACTATTTAAGTATATGAAGTGGATAAAAACATGTCAAATTCGGTACTTATTGAGGGTTAATTATTTGGTCTCCATATCATTATTCAAATTTTATAAATAAATGAATACAAATACATAAAATTTCACCTGATCGAGTCCTCATTGTTGGCAACATTGAAGTTAATTATTGTTCCAATGTCGCTTATATATAGATATATATATATATTATAATAGTTTCACGATTGAGCTTTGAAGTAGTTTCTACTGAAAATTTGAGCATCACTCAACATGTTTAACTACGAAAATTAATATATTGATTGAATTGATTATTACAAAAAATTTACCTGACTAATGATTGTCTTGTCCTACAGTCCTACTTAAATCTTAGGTAGCTTTAAAAATAATATTAATGAAATTGAAAATGTTAAGTGCAAAAAGACTTTCTCTACTATTGATACAGTGCAAAAAAAGTCCCAATGTAATATAAAATTTCTTTATATTATTAATTTAGTATAAATAAGTTCCTGAAAACGGCAATAATATTCTCACTTCACTTGAAAACTGAAAATGACAATAATATTCTCACTTCACTTAAATAAATTAAAAATTATAATTTATATAATGTAAAATGACAATAATACCCTCGAAAAGCCACCAAACCCAACAATTTCTTTCTCTCGCGGATGCTCTATTTTTAGAGGCACCTGTTTCTGATGATGAGATCAGAGAGCACAGAGTAGTGTGATGGCTTTTCACCCAGATAAAGCTCCAGGTCCTTAGATAAGGAATTGATTGCAAGCAAGCAAGCTTAATCATTAGTATTTATTAATAAGATGCAAGGTTTCATTGCCACAGGAACTTTCTATTTTGTCTCTTGCGAAATTTTGGTTTTGGTGAGGTTTATAGTGTTTTGTGTGTATATATAATTATATATGTATATATATTATCAGAACAAACATCTGTGTGTATATATATTACGGAGTATATTTATACCATTCATCTACTTATCAATTTTTATTATAATTTTTTTATTTTTTATTATACTTATCAGTTTTATTATATATTTTTATTAAATTATAAGATTTTATATATATTTTTATATATTATCAGATTATTATATTTTTATTATATTATCAGTTTATTATATATATATTTTATATATGTATTATCAGTTTTATTATATTTTTTATATATTGTAGGTGCAAAATTCGGCTCAACCAATAACGAGTGAGAAAAATAATATAACACACTCAAGAACAGTAAAAATAAACAAGAACAATGTATAGAGAATAATAGAATTACTTGCCCTTTTATTGGAGGTCTAGGCCTCTATTTATATACAAAAGTTACTAGAATTATGGTAGGACTCGCGTTATTTGTCCTCCAATTCTTCCCATACATGACTTTCTTTACAAATAGAATTCTTTTTATTATATGATATTTCCTACGCAGAACTTGCTTTGTAAAAAACTTTTCTTCTGGGTTGACTCCTTTGCTTAATAAGACTGGGCTATATTTAATTGTACTTGGGCCGGATGCAGCTTGGTGTAAGTGACTTGACCAATGGGCCGGAACTTCAATAGTGGTGACATTGGGCTGATTGATGCTCTTATCTGGCCTTGGAGGCCCAATATAAATGATATGGGTTAAACCATAAAGTAATTTGGACTTGATCCGGATGGGCTTCTGAAATCTACCAAATGTAGATTTATATAGTGATGACGTGTTCCATTCTTATTGGAGGGAGATTTTTCCCTCCACACTTTGCCCTCAATTCCTCTTTAATTGGATTACAGTACCTAATTAAAGGGGAATTGAAGTTGTGCAGTTGCCATTTTCGCACGAGGCGTTTCCATTTGTTTCTATTGTTATTCTGACTCAAGGACTTCTTCAAGACTTGCTTTTGTTCTCAGTGTGCTCGTTCTGTCCACTGCGTTATTCATATTCTCATATCTCCAGGTTAGTTATTCTTTCCCTTCTTCCAATCTTACATTATGTGATACCCCCTAATTTTGGAACACGGATTGATCAAGTCCGCGCACAAAATCAAGGGATATCAAAACAATTTAAGTATTTAACAAGCACATAATACAAAGATGAATAATAAAGAATAAATAAACCGCTGAAGAAAACTAATAAATAAATATTACTTAATGATTCTCCAACAATTACAATTCGGAAATCCCATAACTCAAGGACCCCTTAAAATATTATCCAATAATCCAATACTATTTAAAAGTACACAAGATGAATAGACGAATGACAGTCTCCCAACTGCGGATCCTCAACCTCGAGACTGGAACCTCTAATAACCTGAAAAATAAATCGTGGGTTAAACCCTACGAGCAAGTTCACTCTACCAGGCCTCTGAAAACCAATAAGCAGATCATCTCTGATCAAAACCAAACCTAATAAAGTTTTAACTTTAATAAAGCACGATATACATGTCTATATATAATTATATATACTATACTAATCACATCCATTAATAGGTTTATTAAATTTCCATACCTATTAAATAATTATTAAAATAATATTCATACCTAGACCAATCTACCATTTCATTTTATAAAAACTCCTTTGACCTTAATCTCATCCTAGTCAGTTGTCTAATCATTTAAACAACAAATTATAATAAAAGAAATACTCTATTTAATCCCAACCCGATAATGATTTAAATTGTTTAAATCACATATCCAAAATCCAAGTTTTGACAAATCATCCACGTCTTCCCCAATATTATTTTATTAATGGAAAATAATACACTAACCAGTAAGTACTAAACTATTCTCATTTAAGAATATCTAACCCTAATCCAATCCATACATACAACAACCATAGATGATATTTTAATCATCTAACACATAACAACGTAATTATGCTTTGACAAATCAACCATGCCATTGTAAATATTTTTATTTATATATTGGCAATTCAACCATGCCTCCATAAGTATATTTATTTATACATTGGCAATTCAACCATGCCTCCGTGTATGTATATTTATACATTGGCAATTCAACCATGCCTCCACAGGTATATTTATTCATACATTTAATTAGCAATTCATCCATGCTTTCCATATATGTATTCTATTCATACAAATATTTAGGTAATATATTTAATCATTTGACAATTCATCCATGCCCACACTTTAACCATGAATTAACTTTAAAATTAACAATACGCTAAATCATACATAGCCATCACATGCATATTATACACATATCATTAATTTAACAACCAACCTATTAAGATATGCCAAATAAGAATGATAATATTAATCATCTTAAATGATTTATATATATATATACCTACACATATGTTATTTAATGTATATATGTGTTTAACACCTTCTTTAATAATCCTTGATTATTTAAAATCAATATACATACATACATACATATATATATATTCATCCTTCCATACAACTCATAGACAAATTAAACTATATATACACATATATAAATAATTTTATATATATATATATATATATATATATATATATATATATATATATACACTTCCTTCCATAACAAATTATTAATTTATTATATTTACCCAAATTAGTGCAACTAAATATGTCAGAAATAGTTTCCTTTAAATACTCCATACTGGTTTAAATAGTTTTCCGACACCGTCTCACTAAAACGTAAATATCTCTTATTAGGATAAGAATCTGATAATGAAATTGGTACCATTGGAAAGAGGACGAAAAATCCTTGAATTTGAGCTCAAGAATGACCCAATTTCGATTTAAGATGACTAAGTTATGACCGTTTTAATTTTATGTCATAAACAGACAAAATAATTGGCTAAGCTCAAACACTACTGTGAGCGCGCCCACACTTAATTAGCTCACTTGAGCTCACACAAACGCACCCACACCAGATTAGCTCACTTGAGCTCACATGTATGCACCCACACCAGATAAATCTTCTGTTGACCAAACTTAATCCATGGTCCAGATTCACATGCGCACTCTTTTATGTACACCGTAATGCACCGAATCATTCCACTTATATTTAAACTATTCCAATGGCCTAGATCAGTGATGTAACCTTTTACTATGCATTCTACCACACTAGATCATACCTCGAATCACCCATCTCCTGATTTATGCGCCGATTCACACAGAGTGCATAGAATTAATTTAAAATTTAATAAAAATA